TCCAGCCCCTCCCCTCCTTCTCCAAGTCCCCAGCTGGGCTTTGCCTTGGATCCCCTTAAGCTTGCGCTGGGCTTCAGGCTCTAACTGAAATACTGAGTGTTTTCCCTGTGCCAATATGCCTCACAACAACCAGGTTTTATTATTATCTGCATATTGCAGGAAGAGGCTGAGCTGAGAGATACGGGCTTGCCTACTACTTTCCTGCTGAGTTTGCTGATGACTGGGGACTGCAGCCATTACTATACCGATAGCAAACTTTAATGAACTCTGAGCCATATTTTTCTAAAACAATAATTGGCTTAAGCAACCTCTTTCTTTTCCTTTCTTCCAGCTTCTTACAACTGATTTTTTCTCCCTCCAGATAGCTCAATTTTTAGTTTGAAAAGCACAGTCAGCCAAGTTTAGAGATGTCTACTTCTACACCATTTTATCTGTAGAGCCATCCAATTGCAGATTAAATGCTGGCTTCATTTTCAAACTTGGCTTCCGATTAGCTGTCAGAGTTATCTAATCAACAAGCACCTTTTGACCAGCGAATGCACCGTGGGGCAACCAGCCTTTGAGGAGTAATGCTATGCAGTTGTTAAGACAGTGAGCAATGCTGCAGCTCTCCAGGTACACACATCTTGGACGTGTCCGGCCCTCTCTGAAACTGCTGATTTTCTTTGACACCATAAAGGCATTAACATTTGATCGTGAGAATAGAGAAGAGCCATGCAGCAGTTCGCCCAGCGCAGACTTTGTGCAGCTGTCCGTAGGATCCCACGGATCCTGTAGAGCAACTGCAACAGCGTCCTCTCAGTAATGTCTGCCAGCAACGAACTGCTGTGGAGAGAGAAACTGCCTCTAATCTGGAGGTAGCATTTGGCCGTCAGGACTCGTAGCCAGTGATAGCCTTTTCCCGCATGAGTATCTGACTAGCCATCCCACATTCCTTGAACTTGCTGAGTCCAAAAGATGAGCACTTTTATAACAGTGGGGCTTTTAATAATGTCCAAACTGGAGTGACTCAGTTATGCGAATGGTCGCTCTCTAGAGAGTACAGCAGGAGTGGTGGGGTAGGTGGAATATATTTGTGGTTACCTGGAGATAGGAGCTACAGGTAGGTGTTCTTTGGCCTTTGTTTCTGGAGTTTCTAGGAGACTGCACCCTCTGCTTGCCAGGAAGGCCTGATGGTTAAAGGGATGACCAAGATGGCACCATCTGGCGGCCAGAGAAGAAGCCCTGTGCAGCGTTTGTTTTATGTCCTCCCCTCCCCTTCTACTGGAAAGGTCACTTGCCTCCAGCTGCTGGTGCTCTGGACCTCCGGAGCTGAAGGGAAGCCCAGCCTGGCCTCACTGATCAGCCAGGGGACCTCGGGCTGCTCGGTGGTGTATCTGTGAGCTGGTTTGGGTGTAACAATAACCTGAAGTATGAGTTCTGTTTGGCTTGTTGCATTGTGGGTTGTTGAATCATGGGTCATCCTTACACATGAACCTTGTATGATGGTTGCATGGTTACCTGCACTATGATTTCAGTATGGGTATGAACAACTCTGTGTTTCTATAGCGGAGCCGGCTGGAGCTGGGGATCAGACTGGATGGCCCGGGAGACTCCTTCTGACTCGCTCCGTTTTTATGTTTCTACCTTGGAGTTCACAGCCAAGAACAAACCATGGGTTCTGTTTCTGAGTTGTATTTTCAACATCAACACGTTGTTGTTATGTGCAAACCACTATGAGATTTTTTTTCTTTTTGTACTTAATATTGCTGCCTGTGTTTGTAAGCCATCTTGAGAATAATCTGATGTGAAAGCAGGTCATAAACCCTAAATAATAAATAGTAATGAATGGTTGAGTGTAAATACTGCTGGTAAATCTCTGGAAGAAAATTTTGTCTGTGCGCAACTTTATGCCCAAAGCAGCAGCTGGCCCAGGCTCTTAACAGGAGCACTGAAATGCAATTCAGACCCTTCCATTCGGTCAAAACCCAGTTGACTGTTCACCGGCTTCCCAAATCTTACTACATGAGGCCGGTGACCACACTGACCTATTGGTTTCTTCCTCCAACAATAATACCTTCCTCAGTGAAAGTTGGTGATCACTGATATTGAAGAGACTCTGTTACTGTTGTTGTTGTTGTTGTATTTCACCCTCCTCTCTCATTTATTTATACACTCCCATCATGAAACTCTTATTTTGGGCAAGCCTGAGGTTCACAGGTGCTCACCCATTGAGACATCTGCTAAACCCAGTCTTGCTCAGCTCCAAAAAAGCTAGCCAGTTTGCATGCCTCCAGACCATGCCTGAACCTGAAATTCTGATGACATCAATTCTGTTTATTAGAAATGACAGACTAATGACTACTTGAAAGGTTGGGTGATTTTCTGCATGTACAATATGCCATTTTGTATATTGCTCAATGGTAATTGAGTGAGTGGGTCGTCCAGGCGACACAGTACAGATTGTCGGGGACATCTTGAAGGTTCTGGAGGACAAAGTCCTTTTTTGTTGAATGAGAAGAATGGCTTTGGCAGACAAGTTTTATGAAAAGACGCGCATTAGTGGTGTGACGTGGCACTGCCTGGTGGAATCTGACTCTCTCCAGGAAAAGTGCTAAATCATTTTAGAGTCACACAATCTTTCTTGATTCACTTGTAGACAAAAGGACCTTTTGTCTGTCTTCCTCTCTCATCTGCCATCCTGCTTCTTACTGCACCAGCATTAAGCAAGAGTCAGGCGCTGTGCTGGCTGTCAAAATGGAAGTACCTAAGGGTCCTTCGAAAGAGGAGCCCTTCCGCATGGGAATCGCTTTTCTGTAAGCATCCCCAGAAACAACTGGAGCGAGGTTTCAGTGTGCCAGGTGCAGTGGATGTGGCCACTCCTTCCAGACAGAGTATCAGTGTCATGATTGGCTCCATCCTTCAAGCCTAGGCATGGTTGGGCATTTGATGAGGGCCCACAAGTCAGTCAGGGGGCCACTGAGAAGAAGCCCCTGCTCTTGCTTTTCCTCTTCACCAGCTGCTTGTTGAGCTTCCTTTCACTCTGGCTTAGACAAGGGAGGCGGTGAGAAGGGGCAGCAGCAGGTGTCATGGCCTGCTTGTGTTCTGCCTGTCGAAGAAATGGGCATTTACAGGAAACAGGCACGGTGATAAGGAGGAAGGAGGCGCGGTAGCAGTTCATGCCAGTGGCAGTGAGAGGGTGGACTTACTGAGGGAGCAGCCCATTGAGGATAACTTGCCCCGGGACCCTTAAAAACCTGAGGCTCGCACTGATTTGACCTCCACAAAGGAGCCCAACGGATCTCCTCTAGGAAGGTATTCCAGAACTGTGGTGCCACCATGGAGAAGACTCTGCTGTTCATGCATATGTACTTCATGGCACCTCAAGCCTCCAAAGAAGTTCCTTCAAAAGACACGGGAGTTTTCCCGTTTAATAATGATACAAGGAAAATAGAAGTTGTTTGGGCTATTTTGTTCAAGGGCTTCATGTATCAATATGTGAAAATGCATCTGTCTTTTTAGAACAGTTTCACAAATCTTCAAGAAACATTGCAAGGAGAAGAGGCAGAAAGTGGTGATATACTTTTTGTCTGTTAGGTTTCTTCAGTTATCATAGCAAAACAAAGCGTCCACACTTCAAGTGTTATTGTCCTGTAGGAAAGCAATCTTTTTCTTGAACAAACAGTTCTGCAAAATTATTATTAAAATGCCAGTTGTTTATATAGTCAGCAAGTAGAAAGCAGGCATGTATATTGAAGTCTCTAGTTCATGTATCAATGGCAGCATGGGAAAATATTTTAACAATCAAAGGGCAGCAAGGTCACAGAATGGATTGCTCGCTACAGCTGAAGTTAAAGCTCTCAGTGCGGAAAGTAAGATTTATTGCAAGCTTTTGCCTTGAAAACAAAAGAAATAAGAACATATCCTTCCAAGTCTTGCTTTTCCTTTCTTTTATTATCTGCTTTTCAAAGGAATGCCAGCATATTTTTTTTTCTTCCTTGCAACGTTTTTGCTAGAGTTCCTCATGTGATGCCTTCTTTTCTTTTCCCATCTCAAGGTAGATAAATTATAAATAAATATAACCCCAGCTCCTTGTTTGGTTGAATGCCACAAAGGCAGGTCAATAAACAGCCATGGCAAACAGCTTTCACAAGAGTGCAGCTATGAATAGTTCTATTTTTATAGCTTGGCAACGGGGAAAGACGCACTTGTAAAGGAGACAGGCAAAATACAAGAAGAGGGGGGGATGTTGCGAATATTTGCTTTTGTTGTCAACATTTTTATGTAATTAGCTTAACATTGAGGGCTTGTGCCTGGTCTGTACCACTTTCCAGGGGCGTATGTGTTGAAGTACCTTCCCCATATCCCAACCCAGCACATATCCTCATGCGTAGAAAACTATCTGGTCAGGGAAAGGGGCTTTCTCCAGAGGTTGTGTCCCATAACTGCCCTAGCCTGCATAGGCGATGGTGAAAAATGATGGGAATTATAGGCCACAACTTCTGGAGAGCTACAGTTTGCCCACCACTGTTTTAAATCTTGCTTTCTGACATGTTTCATTATTTATTTAACAGGTTTATATGCCACTATTGGTACTGAGAACCATCTCTAGTGTTAACTTTCTTTGTGTGGGATATTGTCGTCTTCTCCCTCACCCCAACTCTGGTACGGAAGTGTGTTCGATCAAGTGAGAGTCCAGTTGCAAATAGAACTGTGGTTAACAAGTCATGGTTTGCCAGTGCAGCTGGGTTCACACAACATGAGAGCCCTTGTTTCAGCAACAACCCACAGTTCAGTGACAAGTTACACTCAGCTCTTGAGTGTGGGTTCTCATGTTATCTGAGCACAATAATAATCTCTCTCCTGTTGCTGTAACACATGTTCAGGATGTATTTTCCAATCTCTTGAAAAGTAGCCCAATCTGGAATCTTCTAAAATTTCGATTTTGTGGGGAGTGGGATACCTTTTTTTTCTAATGGGGCTTTTTGTGCAATAGTGAGGTGACCTTGTTTTTCTCGCAGCTCTTCAGTGAAAAGATCAGTGGAGCTGAAGGAACCAAGCTAGATGAAGATTTTCAAGAGATGGAAAGGGTAAGAGTCTCTGTATGTTCTCCAAGCCCCCGAACGTAAGTTGCGCACTCTTCAGCTTCTTTTGCATGACTGAATCCAGAGCGATGCATTTCTAACAGAGCTGTATTTACATGATTACTCTAATTGTGTGGAACATTAGCTCCAAGATTAGCATGTAGCATGTTTCTCTTACTCCACAGGGCTCGGGTTGTGGTGTAGGTCATTCCCGTGTTAGTGTTCACGAAGTTCAGTGAAATCAGGTTCTATCTAGTGTGGCTACCTGAAACCCTCCAGACTTGGAGGATTTCGTGCACCGACTCCGGGGCAGGAGGAACAAGGAAGCAAGGGCTGTGTCCATGATGCCTCTGCCCTGCAACAGACATAGGTGGCCTTGTGCCTGTGCTTGCAAGGAGGATGGGCTGAAGCCCCGCCGGATTCCCTGTGCCTGGTGGAGCCTCTCTCCTCCCTGTGCTGGACCAGAAAGCACAGAAGGTCCCACGCCAGCTGTGAGGGCGAAGGGAAGCACCTGTGCGTGCGGCCTCGGCTTCAGCCTCGGGGTGCGTTTGCACAGTTGTAACTGGCAACCCCGACCCTGCCCTGGACAATGGCCAGCAACCCCAAGTGTGTGTTCTTCATTGCTTCTTTTTATTTACTTAAACTTCTTCTATGCTGCTTAAGGTAATAAAATCCCTTACTACTAGGTAATAAATCAATATTAAAATTGCCGTTAAAATACATTAATAAAAATACCAATTACAGTAATAGCCCAGAGCAATACAAGGAATGGGAAGATGGAGCAACACGATTAATTACAATGAATTACAAGCCAGGGAACCTCTGGCTGAGCAGCCGCATCTTCACAAGGTACTTGAAATGTGCCGCAGGCATGTTCAGAGGGGAGCAAGGGGGGCCACGCGAGCTTAATTGCCGCATGCCCAGAGCTCTGCCTGTTCCATCATAAGTTGGGGGTACATGAGGGCAGAGAGAAGCAGTTGCTGGTTTTCCTATACAAGGCCCTCCTCTTAGGCATCTGTTCTTGTAACCCGGCACCCTTTTCGTGCTGGCTCTGCTGGAGCACCTTCCCTGGAGAAGCTCCCCTGGCTTCCTTTCTACTTTCTTTTAGGTGGACTTGCAAGATTAAACTTTTTAATCAGTTTTCCTTTGGATAAAATTGATAGGTGGGTTTACATGTAATTCTGCTCTTGGGTTTTTAAATTCTTTACAATTTGTGATCCTATTGAATGTGTTAGCTTTTTGCTCTGATATGATCTATGTGGCTCTTTTCATTTTCAAAATGTCTGCATATTTAATATTTAGGGATTAATGTTATATTGCATACAATTTCTTTGTCGCTTCTGGAAAATATTTGTTTTGAAAGGTGGCACAGAAGTCTCTTTTATTCCGTATTATTCTATTCACGCATGGATTACATTTCTACATTGCCCAATAGCTGAACCACAAATAAATAACATGAATGAAAGAGCTACATGCACAAGTGTCAATCTGGTCATGTTCTTATTCTGTTATCCACCCACTTGCAACCCAACACCAATGTTCTGGGACTTTTTAGAATGTTACCTAGTTGGTAGTACAGCTTCCATGGCCACATCTTCACAAAATGTGTAGGCTTTTGTGCAACCTCTGTAAGGCTCGGAGAACGAGCAAGTCCAGTATTTGCATGAAGGACCTTGTTACGTTTTCCTTGCAGAAAATTGATGTCACCAACAAAGCTGTGGCAGAACTTCTGTCAAAAGCCACGGAATATCTCCAACCTAATCCAGGTAAACAAACAAACTGATTAACGCCTTCGGAAGCTCTACCCATCCACAGTGTGTAGAGCTAGCTTCCTTTCTGAGCAATGACATTGGTTTGGATCCAGATGCAGTATTGTTTCAAGTGGACCAATTTAAATCAACGGGATTTATGCTAGCCATCCTTAACAAATCTCATCCACCTCAGTGAGTCTGCCCTAAGCCTCACTGTGTCCACATTTAATCTCTGGATTTGCTTGGTTCCCTTTGTCAGTTTATTGACAGTTGGATTGCTCTTGAAGGCCAGGGGCTTCAAGAGCACCTCTTTTGTCCCAGTACCAAATTCCTTCAGGAGATGCTTCCAGGGGCTGCATTTGAAGCATCGGTGGGCCAAATGCAAATAGGGAAGCCTGCTCTATCTTAAACCTCTTACAGTCTGTTGCTGTGCTTCAGAAATAGCATTTCTTTCTTTTAGTATAGGAGGAGAAACAGATAAAAGCGAAGAAACCACATGTTTGGGGGCAGGGGGTAGCGTGAAGAGGAGGGCCAATGGGCATCTGGGGGGCCTCCGAGGGTAGATTTGGCCACCGTGCCTGCCCTCTCCCTTTTAGTCCCTCTACCATGACAGGATCTAGCTGATGAAGGGGGAAATGGCATTTTTCAGTATTTTTGTATGAAGCACAGTTGTATGAGATGCCACTTGTAGCAACATCTAAATATAGCTAAATATAGGGAAGCACTGATTTGGCTAAATCCATTCCATCTGTGTTTTACAGATTCTCAGGTATTTCGTGTTCTACTGACTGCCCATGATTGGAATCAGGTTTAGGGTTTTCCAGTGCACTTGCACAAGTATGCATTACTGCTAATGTGAAACAGGGGGCGTGCACACTTGCCGTAATGCAGATTAACACCCCAGGTCTGTGGGATCACCATGGTGGGACAGGATCCAACAGCTGTGAAAATGTGAATCATTTGATACCAGCTGTGAAGCATCTTTCATTTTCCACATGACCCAAGCAGCAGCCTTTCTGAAAGGAAAATTAAATAAAAAAAACTTTCACAGATATGTAAGGCAATTGGATTGGCTCACTTTTTCAACCAATGTTTGTCTTGTAATGCTTTTGAGGGGAAATCATGAAGACCCCTCTGTTGGACAGACAGACGGATCCAACAGCTTCCTTTATCTGTGAAGCATGTTTTTTCTGCTTGAGACAGGAATTTGAAATGGTTCCGCAGTGATTTTCCTCCCTTTGTTTGCTTGACTACACAGCTGGTGCTGGTAGAATTATGCACATCTGTTTTGCGAAACAGTGCTAGAGCCATCTGAAATTCAGTGTTAGTTTTCCGTGACTGTCTTTTCCTGAACGAGCAAATCTAATAAAATGACAGATCATGGAATTTCTGTGGAGAAGAACATGGGTTATGTGGGGCACTCAGGTGCATCACTCACAATTTCAAGACATTGCCTTCATCTGCTCCTTTGATGTTTAAGATCTTTGCAGTGCCCTCCACACATCCAGGGATCTTTTCTTAGCCGTAGATAGTAGCAGTGCGCCCACGTGTGTGTCTGTGTGTTCCCTCCAACCAAACTAGGAAATACTCAGATTGTGGCCTCAATTTTTTCCCAGAGGCACCACCTAAGGGTAATCTCTGGTTTTGTTCACACAAGGACTGTCATGTTTTTCTTCAGTTCTGCTCTCTGCCTACCAAGGAATCACGGTGCTTCATCCAAAGCCAGAGGTGGTCCCTGGTTTCTGTCAATCTCTGTGTTTTCAGAAGCGGAGATCGGCAGTTGCCCCTCATTCCCATCTTGCTTTGCTTGGTGCAATCTAATACCTGCAACACCTATTCCTGAATCATTCCTTCAGTCTGTGGATCTCATTTTGAGATGATGTCCATCTGTTGCAACACATGGCCTGTTTCCTTCTCCATCTCCTGACCTTTGCATCACCTCCCCTTGATGAAGAGTCCTGTGGCTTTTTGGTTGGCCCTATTAAAAGTCTTTCCCAACGATAAACTTTGGATAACGTTTCCCTCATGGACCAGTGCAGCTTTTTCTCCCTTTACATGTACATATTACTAAATGCAGAGATTTGCAAGAAGTTGAACTTTGCACTCAGTTCCACATTCTGCAGCCCCACAGAATTGCTGCAAACATACAGCTTTGCTTACCATGTGCAAACAGTAGCCGTAGTGCCCTACTCTAAGATCTGTAGATAGTAAGCATGTAATGTAATGATAAACAGTTCCTCAGTGTTCCTCTCTCGCCCTCCTCCTTTAAGCCTACAGAGCTAGACTGGGCATGCTGAACACTGTGTCCAAGATCCGAGGACAGGTTAAAACCACGGGGTACCCACAGACAGAAGGCCTCCTTGGGGACTGCATGCTGCGATACGGGAGAGATCTCGGAGAGGACTCCACATTTGGTGAGATCATGCGACTACGCGAGGATGCAATTTTTCCGGCCTCTGCATGTGGCATGGCAGGGGTTTCATAAATCAAATGAGTCCCTGCCCCAAGGAGTTCACAGTGGAGGAAGTAACATTAAGAAGAGAATGTGGGACTATGGAGGTTGCAGGCCAGCAACCTGGAGGGCCCAGGTTGGGGAAGGCTGATGTCTTAAAATTCCAGTCAGATGCTGCAGTTTACATTTCTTTGCAGCCTGCAAATTACGGAGGCTGGACTGGAGAAGTGCTTGGTATGAGAGGTAGCAGGACAAATGGAGCAGCTGCCCGTGTCCCCAAGAGGGAAGTGTGAACCTGCAAACTGAGCGTGCACTTCCTAGCTTGTTGGGAGAGGGTTTATCGTTCTGCTAGTAGCTGGTGGTGGTGCCTAAGTGTGACTTCTTCCCTAACAAGGACCGGCGCTGATCGATGCAGGCGAGAGCATGAAGCAGATGGCCGAAGTGAAAGACTCCCTGGACATCAGCGTCAAGCAGAACTTCATCGACCCTCTACAGCTGCTGCAGGACAAAGATCTGAAGGAGATCGGGGTGAGTCTGTGCCAGGTGGAATGCTGGCCAAGGGCTGCACCGTGTCACCCACTGAGAAACAAACACCATCATTTCTCAAACCTCCTCCTCTTAGCACATTTCTTTCCTTTCTGCTGCAGTCCCATTTCTTCACAGTGCTGGGATTGCCTGGACTCATAGTCCCTAAAAGCAGCTTAGCTGTTCTTAGTGACTGCATATCCCCACTCCTCCCAGTCCTTCAAGAAAATTAGCCTCTACAGGAGAGAGAAAATAAGTGTGGAGAAAGATGCATTTGCTCTTCTTGCTGCGATCCCATCCAGCTTTCTCGGCATCTCTCTCCAGGGCAACCATAATGTTCAAAGTGTGTTCAGATGACAGTAATGAAAGATGGGCTTACCCTTAATGATTCTCTCCTACAGTAAGCGAGACATTTCTCTCTCTCTAGCCTTTTGAAGAGAGAAGGGCACGGGGAGAGGGGGTGCCACCAAAAGGCTTACGGGACAGAAGTCTTCAGGCTCTTTGACCATCTGTTAGTCAAGAAGTCCACTGGTGCTGAGGGGAGCCGAGCGTGTGTCCCATAGCTTTCCTGCTGGTTCCAGTTGCTTGTGAGAATAAAACATGGAAAATTCCACTGGCCTTGAGTTTCTTCTTAGAATTTATTTTACTTATTTAGGACACAATTTTATGTATGTTTAGTCAGAAAAAAGCCTTTGCCAGTTGCAGCATTTCCCAGCTGGCCATGCTGGGAGTTGTTGGAGTTATTACAAACATGCATAATAGACATTAAATGAAAAAAAATGAAAACAGTGCTGAATAAAGCCCGCAAAAAGAATAGAACCACTCCAGTGTCATAAAACCAGATCAAAACCAGAAATGAAAGCACAGAAAGCTGTTCTTCAGATGCCTGGGAGAAGGTGCAGGGGTCTTTCTGGCGCCAGGATGAACACAGTGTAGGTGCAAGGCCAGCCTCTCCAGGGGGAGCACCTGAAAGGCCCCCAGCCCTGCCTCATTCAGCAGAGCGGGATATAGCTGGGTTAATGAGTCTTCCACAAACAGGTAGAAGAGACAAACGTGACCCCCAGCTCCTTGGCAGCCCAGGCAGATAAAAGCAATAGAAGAACGGGGATTGTGGGTATCTCTTGGGGTGGGGGAAGTGTCTCCTTTTGCTTTTTCATTGGTCTTGTAACTTCTTGAGAGAAGAATTACCTTTGGGATCTTCTGGTCCAGTTCCTCTTTAGATGGATGGCCTCAGGTTGTAGACCTACGAAGAAGGCCTCAGGGCCTTCTTGGAGTTTCTGCAGTCAGCACTGCTTGGCATCTCATGCCCTTTTATTTACATTGTGGTCCATGTTCTCTTGCTCAGTTGACTTGATGGCTGTATCCAAATCTCAAAATCAGTAAGAAATGTTTGTGCGGTGGACACAGAAAGATAAGGTAAACGGGATGAGCTTTCTTAAACTTTGGATCTACTGCTGATGAGTTCTTGTCATTCTCTATCCTGCGTGCTAGATGCGACTTGCCAACTATCGCTGAATGTCAGTCCTTGGCAGCTGCACGTCTTAATGGTGTCTAGGCTTGGTCCAGTTGCTTTTACACCATTACATTATTTTTTGGATGGAGTATAATGGAGTACTCCATTTTTGGAAGGAGTATTGAGGTTGGTCACAGACCATGTCTATTGGTGGAAAAAATATATACCGAGTTTTACACAAGAATACTATAGGGGATTTCTTTAAAAACACACACACTTAAAAATTAGTATTTTCAACTTCAGTCAAAGTCAAAGCACAAACTTTTTGGAAAATGTGCACTTTTCCTATTTAAATGAACCAAAAAATGGGTTGCAGACAAGAACAGGAGTAAGCGAAACCTAGCTTTGAAGTGGATTTCAAAGAATGTTAGTGAGCTCAAGCATCCTTTGTCCTCCAGTCTCTTTGCTTTGGCAGAGATGTGCATCTAAATTTGTACATTCTATTTTTTTCTTTACATCAAGCAAATTCTTCAGCATGTAAGAATCTATCGCTGAATAATATTTGGCACGTTCACAGATGCTGGATATTTATTTTTTTGGCTGACATAATTCCATCTGACTCTCCCTGGGTACATCAATCAGTTTAAGTCCCACTTGCAGACCTTCTCTCTCTCCATCTGGGAATTCTTGCAGTTGATGTAATCACTAAGTGTCTTCTTTCTTTCTTTTCCTGTTTAAACAGCACCATCTGAAGAAACTAGAAGGCCGCCGTTTAGATTACGATTACAAAAAGAAGCGGCTAGGGAAGATACCAGATGAGGAGGTTAAACAAGCTGTGGAAAAGTTTGAAGAGTCCAAAGAATTGGCAGAGAGAAGCATGTTCAACTTTTTAGAGAATGACGTAAGCCCCTCCTGCTCCTTTCAGGCACTCTGTCTGTGCCTGTGTGTTTATGTAAACATTTCTATAGTGCTTAATATTTTTAAAAACTTCCAAGTGGATAATGTTAACATAGATAAAATGATTTTAAGATATACAATAAATAAAAACACTTCAGCAAGAATGCTATTAAATGCTCAGCGACAATCCATTGCGGGTTTGGGGGAACCTGCATGGAGAAATGTCTTTCCAGCAGCATGTGAAAGTTTTCAGAGTTTCCGCATCTTGAGCCAGACATGCCAAGAGTGCTCCAGGGCATGCATTGCTGTCACATGGTGATGTTCTGTTGGTCATGCATGACCAGCAAGGCCTCTCTGGAAGGTCTCAGGTGGGGGTGTATATAGGAGAGGGCAGGCTGTAGACCTTGTGGCCCCGAGCTATTTGGGGATTGATATTTTAAAATCAGAACCATGCATGTGGCTTGGTAGCTACTGCTTGTGTTAGATGTGGCTTGCAGTGTTGCGACTAGGAATTTTGAAGGCTAGACCAGTTTCCCAATTCTCGAAGCACTACTTCATCTCCACACAGTCATTGCTGCTCATAGTCGGTGTTCTTGCAGCTCATGTGAACGGCTAGTCTGGGTTTGAAGGAGCCTTCGACCAAGAGTGCCAGGGTGCCTTGGGCTTCCATTTCGTTTTCCCACAATGCCTCTGATTTGGAATTGTTGCAGTGCATGGTGGGAAATTAAAAAGGCAGGCAGTTCACAGAATTAGCCTTCTGGGGCAGGATATCCTAGGGTAGCGATAAGCTCGGAAGCCGGGCCCTTGGGGGTCCCAGGGCTCCGCAGAGGCTGCAAGAAGCCATGTGTGGGCCAGGCTTGGCTGGGGTGCAAAATGTTTCTCCCTCACCCGCGGAATTTCATTGTCAAGCTTGCTGTAGTGCATCAAGCAACACAGGGAATCGGAGAAGCTGCTCTGTACCTCCTTGTTTGTTATACTGACTTAAAATATCTATTGCTCATTTCCAGAAAAAGCTCAAAGTAGGCCAGAGTGTAAAACAACAAAACCAACTTGCATAAGAAAACTGGCAAGAACCACTGAACAATCAGATACCTTTTTTTAAGATTTCATTTTCCATCTTCCAGTACTTGTAATTGCTCCACACCAAAAGGGAAAAGATTAGAAACATAGAAACAGACCACATCAGAAGGCGCCTCCCAGGCCATCTAGTCTGTCCCCTGGCTCCTGACATGCCTACTATTGCTGATGTATGTTGCTCTGTGCTGTCAAGTCGTCTCTGACTTTTGGCGCCTCAGAATGAAAACCCTCTAGAATATGCTGTCCCTGACAGCCTACTTTTCTAAATCCAAGGCTGAGGCTTCCTTTATGGAGCCAATTCATCACATAGTTCATCTTCCCTTCTTTTTCGGCCTTTGGCTTTTCTTAGCAAGATTGTCTTCTCGTTATGCATCCAAAGTATAACAGCCTGCGTTTTGACGTTTTTGCTTCTGGGCAAAGTTCTGGCTTGACGTGCCAGGCAAAGGGCCATTGTATCTTCCCATGCATTTTAGTCTTTCATTTTCTGTCATACTGAATATGTTACTGTATTTTAAACCTTTGCATTGCTAAACTTTACTTTGGGTTTTATTTTCGTTTAATGTTGTATTTTGTGCTCTTTGTTGTGAACCACTGAAAGAGCTTTGGTTGTTTGATGGTATAGAAATTATACACCCCTTTTGAGTTGTTCCTATATTCTCCAAAGGTGCTATAGAAAGGAAATATCTTAGGCCTTTTCCCCTACCACCCTCAGACTGTTCAACTCATCCCCATTTTAGGCTTTCAATGACTGTTTTAAGTCAGAGTTGCACAGTTTGTCATTTTGCCTATTATATTGCTTCAGAAATGCTGCCACCTATTGATAGAAGGGAGTATTTCCACAGAATGCAAATATGTGGCTTATTAAATTGTAATTAAAAATATCACAGCCCATTTGTGGATTTCTCTGGTACCAGATAAGAGTCAGTTTGATTGTATTATGTGCAGCTCAGAGTGCTGGTGCATTTGGCCTGCTTTTGTTGACACGAACTCACAGCCACTCCCGGGGGACCTTCCACTGAGCCTCCACACCGCCCCGGAGTGATCCTGTGTGATGTTCAGGCAGTTCTCGTGTGTAGCCGCTGCACCAATCCAACCTCTCTCCTTGAGGCTATTTTTGAGTGCAAGTAAAGTGTCGTGGTTCAGAGAACCAGGAAGATCGTGGTTAAGGTCTTACCTCTGCTTTGAATTCACAACAAGCTGCTATCTATATTTATTTTAATTGCAGTCTTGTAAACTGCTCTATTTCTAAGCAGATCCTGAAAGAGTGAACAGTAAAAAAAGGTTAACACCCCTGGAAACATAAATGAAAAGAATAGATTAAAATTAAGATAGCATAGCTGGTCAATAAGAACGGTTTTTCAGAACAAAACAACAGTGTTTGTGCTTGCCTGACATGTGGAGGCTGGGAAGTCCATCAAAATGGGCTCCCCACACCTGAAGCTCTTCTCCTGGTGGGCTCCAGTTGGGTCCATGTGGAACCAAATCGGAGGATGTCCTCTGATGGCTTCAGTGACAGCACGTGGTGGTAGGGGAGAAGGTGCTGTCTCGGGTCTGTAAAATGGGATATGTTGTAAGGCTGTTGGGAAAATTATAGGGATAATGTGTTTGGGGCATTTGGACCATTTTAAAGAGAGCTGCGTAAATGTTTACTGTGGTGCTGCTACTGATCAGTAGCTTAGATATGTGGATGAAAAGTTCTCTCCACTCTCAGATTCAGCAAGCAGCAAGCAGTCCTGTAAGTGCAGCAGTTACAAATACAGTAAGTAAAGCAACAAGGAGAGCACATTGTTAGAGACACCCTTTAAAGTCATCCTCCCAAGGGAGGGCTATTTTGAGGCACGGTTTTATCAATAATTCGATTTTTCAAAACAAACAAATCATGTGAGAAAATCAGCAGCAGAATCCTCCCATGGAAAGAGAAAACTAGCACTGGGGTTATTTCAAGGGTCTATTGAAGGAGGGTCCCAGTCCAGATCAATGGGGAGCTTGGAAGGAGGGGGAGCTTGATTTCGAGGAATGTCAGGCCAGGTATCATTTTGGAGAAGCTCTTGGACCATATTCCAGTGGTGGGAAGAGCTGAAGGCACATCGGATTTATCCCAAAACACCAGCTTAAAGTGCTTACTGCCAAAGGCTTAGGAACGGCATCCAGCCTTCCATGATGTGGGAAAAGACATGCAAAGCTGTGAGAGCACCAAACACTTGTGGGGCCAAGGGAAGGGGTCTGGCCCTTCGGGAACCACAGAGAGCCTGATTTGGACCTTGGACCTGAAGTTCTGCATCCCTGATTTAATGGCACAGGCCCCTTAAAATGGTTAGTAGCATTTTGCCCATCCATGTTGTAGTTCGCTCTTGCTCGTTCTCTCTCTCTCTCTCACACACACACACACCGGGGGGGGGGGGGAGCTGTATTCAGACAGCACAACAAGCCATGCTGTTCTATTTCAGCATGGAACATCTGGCCTTTAGAAACCACAAGAAGAAACAATAGTGTGTTCTGTGGTTCCTCCATAGCACCATAGCTGGTTATGGTGTCCCAACCCAGGATCATGTACTCAGCCACCACCCAATCCCCAAGAAAAAGCAGCAACTGCTCCAGCCATCTGTTCTCTAACTGTGGAGCGATGAGGAAGAGCCAGGCAACATTGGCAGGGAGTGATGTATCTTTGGATTGAATTTCCGGCACAGTGGCTTATGGGATACATGCCAGCAGAGGGAGGATGGAGTGGGAGGAAGAACATGTAAACCATTTGAAGGTCATGGTATCAAAAAACATAAACCTTGGTATCTACACAGGACAATTTGCATAATCATTCTATCATTGTTATTCTCTCCAAGTTCTCTTTGTTTTGTTTTGGATTTCCTCCTCTTAGGTAGAGCAAGTTAGCCAGTTGCTGGTCTTAGTAGAAGCTGCACTGGACTATCACAAGCAGTCCACAGCCATTTTAGAGGACCTGCAAAGCAAGCTACAAAACCGGTGAGAATAATTCCAGTTTGCTTATGACGTTTAAGCCACTTCTTGTTTCCAAACAGTGAAGGCTTTGAGAAGTGCTGGCTCCTTTTAGGCTGCTGTAGTGCATGAAACCTGGATGGGAACCTTTTGGTGTACTCAGTAGTCTTTGGGAGACTGCCTTCATTCATATATCCCATAAGATATATAAGCCGCCCCGAGGCTCATGCGATGGGGCGGCATATAAGTTGTCTAAATAAAATAAAATAATAAATAAATAGGGGCAGCAGGTAGAAAGGAGTGGTTACCTTGGACAGGTGTTCATGCCTGTCACCAAAGGAGGGCAATACATAAAGACATGATTTCATGTCATTTCTTACATTTTTATTCTGCCCAACAGCCAATGCTTTCTGGATGGTTCACTGCAATAGAAGAAAGCATACTAATACAACAGTCGCAATACGTAGATAACTACAATAAGAAGCAAGCAAAACGGATCATTTCACAAATACTAGCATTGTAACATTTCATGTCAGTTACAACTACAACCTGGTGCTTTTCTGCGTGAGGTACTGGCTGCATACTCGTGATCCCTCACTCAGGGAAGCTTTACGTGTTTTGTGATCCTCCCTGTGCCTCTCTGGCCATTTCTACAGCTTTTAAAGAGTGAACATAATGCAATATTTTCCTAGATGCCATCAATATACAGCTTCATGTAAAGTCTAATTCCACTGTATACCATGTTGTCGCCTCATGTGATGCCATGCTTTATTGGAAAGTTGAAACACCTCTTAGAAGCACTTTTATCAGAGTTGAAACAGATCTTTACAAACGTGATTACAAAAGGTGCCTCTTTTGAGGAGCACATCTCAGAACCTCAGGAAGATGCTGACAGAAAACTTTGGCTAAGGTAAAGGTAAAGGAGTCCCTGCAGATTTTACTCAGCTTAGCCAGTGACTAATAGGGGTGGTGCTCATCTGTTTCTAAGCCTGTGAACCAATGCTGTTTGAAGACCATTCTGTGCTCACGTGGCCAGCATGACGTCACGGAGCGCTGTTACCTTCCCACCAAGGTGGTACCTATTTAACTACTCGCATTACACGCTTTCGAACTGCTAGGTTGGCTGGGAGCTAGGGCAAACGACGGGAGTTCACTCCATCTGGCAGAGGCTGGGGTGCCCACCATTTCTGGCTGACAGTTCCAGCATCATTAAGCTGCTGTACCACCACTTCCCTCCTTTGGCTTATGTGGCCTTCTAGAAATGCAATAAATAAATATATCCCCCTTAATCCTCACAGTACGGACTGACTCCAGTCCTGATGGTGCAGAGGGCTCTGAATTCAGTATTCTAGTTTGCAATTCATTTCATCATTTCCAAGTCTGCAGGGTTTGGGGAAGCAGGGCTACTCACCTTAAGGCTCTGCCTTACACAGATCTAACATAGCTGGCCGGGGCAGGTTGGCAGTTGTAGGCCTTGTAATCCCACATAGGATTGCACCTTTGGTAGCTTAAGATATTTGTAGGGGTAGAAAATGTGGCTTTTGCAGCTTGCAGAATCCTAGTGTCTAACCCTTCTTCTTCCCTGTTTCAGGATAAACATAGCGTCAAGTCGTCCTAAACTTGAATACAAGCCAAAGCCTGTGCTAAGGGCACCTCTTGAAATAAGCAACGGTCAACAGCACAATGGAATTTCATTCAGTCCATCAGTAAAATCATCGGGTAAGAATATGTATCTGAGACCGGCATTTCGCCAGAGTTCTGTTCAGGGCACATGTGTGATTTTGTAGAGGGCTGGATAGGGTTGGCTCTCTGGAAGACTGGTGTCTTTGCCTTCATTCTGGGTTCAGATGCACAGCCCCATTCCTGTGAAGGATTGGGGTGCCCCACTATGCATTGCTAAAATAATATTGAGTGCAAATTTAGAAGCCATTGTGGTAATTGAGAGAGAAACACATTGCATTTTGCTATATTTTGTCTGTTCAGTCCACTGCAAAGGGACTCACCATGGAGGAACTGCTGTGTATATGGCCCTTCATCTGCTTTAAGACCTTAACAGCAGAAACAAGAATGTTAAAAAGAACATTTACTGTTTACTGAAGAAATAGCCACAGTTTCAAGTAGAATATAAACAAATATGAAAGATGAGATCTCTGGGTCTGGCAAGGTAGAAGGCCACACTCATTACACGTGTGTTTCTCTTAGCCAAGTTGCCTAAAAATTTGTGCAAAGCCAACATTATTCATAAACATTTCCCTTGGGAGTAAGCATGGATGTTTCCAAGTCTCACAGCTGGGAATAAGTCTGGTTAGTATAGCATTGAATTTTAGGTGGTTCCCTGCAGTTCAGCTGATGACTGATGTGGGTACTTAAAGACTTGCTTAATATTTAAAGAGACTCTCTTCTTGAGAGAGAACAAGCAACATTTATTGATGTTGATTTCAAAAAGAGGATGGCTACCCATCAGCAAACTCAGTCCATGAAAAAAAATGGAACTATAGCCAAGATTTTCTTGGAGGCTTGCCTTCCAAACTCTTGAGGGTGGCTTAAAGTTGGAACCATGGTTTCACTCATATACCTTAAGAAGTTCACCCATGGAAGGTGTAATGATGGCTCAGTTTCAGCAGATTCCTTATCCCATGTGCTTCTACAGGTGTCAGAGACTCAGACATGCATAAGAACATAAGAGCCATACTGGATAGACCAAGGGTCAGTCTAAGCCAGTGTTCTGTCAGCCCAGCAGCCATCCAGCTGCACATGGAAAACTCTTAAGCAGGGCACGAATTCAAGAGCAGCTGTCCCCCATGCCAGGTGTCACAGCAGTATAGGTAGGCGTATTGCAAGATCCTACGTACTGACTCATGGGCTGGCTCATCTGAGCTATGAACGTTCTGCTGTATCTCCGTCATCTCCACATCTCCATGTAAGCCGTCCTGAGGCCTTCGCGACAGGATGGCATATAAATGAATGAATGAATGAATGGAATGATGAAGTACCTTATGCAGAGATGCAGCACAAGTTCCTACAAGGGAGGCTGATTAGAAGTAGTAAAGCCCTGGGAGAGCTGGGTGCCAGTCCTTACTCAGTCATGACACTCATGGGGAGCCAGGCAGAGTGTCTCAACCCAACCTACTCATGGGGGGGGGGAGTTTGCTCTGAGGATAAAAACACAGTGCAGGAGAACTATGGAAGCCACCTTGGGTTCCTCACACATGAAAAGGGCCAGAATATAAATGTGGTATAACAGCGACAATACAAACCTGGAAAGGGCAGGCTAGAAGTCAAACAATTCTCCCATGTAACTCTGGGCAGGTTCTTCATTGCACATGGACCAGCCTTGCTGCCAAGCACTGTATGACTTTGAGCCGGAAAACGAAGGTGAGCTTGGCTTCAAGGAAGGGGACATCATCACGCTGACCAACCAGATCGATGAGAACTGGTACGAAGGCATGTTGAGCGGCGAATCGGGCTTCTTCCCCATCAATTACGTTGAAGTGGTGGTGCCTCTACCTCAGTGAGCATGTCGTGTCATTTTCACCACCGATGCCATTTTGGGGCCAAGGCAGTGTCTTCTTCACCCAAAGTGGTCTTTCATTTGTACGCTGCTCTGAAAGCCTTGCTTCTTTAGACCAACTGACTGACTTTTTGGTATGCGTCTTTTACAAATGTATTTATTTTGTATCCATCTAGTTTGTACATATATACAAATATATTATATACAAAGCCCTTCCCTTTTGTTAAATGAAATTACACAAAACTCTATATATGGCCTGGCCTTGCCTTGTGCCTTGAAAATTTCTGTGTAAGGTGTTTACTGATAGTTCAAGCTGTGGTTCCCAAAAGTGCAGTTATTTGCTCCTCTGGTATAAGAAAGCCCTTCGGCCTGTGGTTAATTTTGCTCATGCACACATTTTTAAGCTGTTGTGGGTGAAGCTAATTGTCAATGAGCCACGTTTGTTACGTTTAACATAACTGTGAAAAGCTAATCTGTTGCACACTGTACCCTGACAAAGAGCAGAATGGTAGTCTCTTAAAAGATATTCTTGTACTAAGTCAATGTTACCGTCAAATTCCTTCTCCTTGCTGACCAAATGTAATAAACGATGTTGTGGGAAACATGCCACCTTCACCATGTCTTGTGATTACTAACTCTTCAAAGAACTGAGCACCCAGCAGCGTCTTAGCAGCAGGCCAGTGATCGCAAGAGGGCAGTTAGCTGAGGTGCCAACTGAGTGAATGCCACGTGCCAGAACGTGTTGGTCCAGCTCGCCAAATGCACGAGTGCACGTCCTAAGCTCCTCCTCAGCAAGCTCATCTGTATGCAGCAAGCAGACTTTGAACTCTCATCAGGCGCAGCTGTGGCCTGGTGCTTACCTTGGTGTCCTCTCATCTTCTCCTTTAGTTGCAACTAATGTAGCCACAGCTGGAGAGGTAAGGCAATGCACTAGATTTCTGAAGAATGGGGTGGGGGGGGGGGCGTTTTCCAAAGGGAGGGTTCTCGCCCTGCATGCTGCCATGGACATTCAGGATCATGCAATTATTTATGAAGCACCAGCATGGTTTCCTTTCTTTGTTACAAGAGACCTGTTTGTTAAAGATTATTCTGTCATGCTGTGGCACTTTGACACAGCACACTTCTCATTTACTCTCTGCTTTTAGAGCGGTATCAAATACTGTCTCTAAGATACTGGAAGGGACACAGTGTAACTGGAGCTTGTAGGTCTGGAAACAACCATGAGTTGTGGGGAACTGGTGGCTGTAGTTGCACTATCGGTCTGTTGTGCAAGAACAGTGAGCAGAAGTACAGAGGACACTTCCCTTAGATCAGGGGTCTCAAACTCGCGGCCCGCGGGCCAATTGCCGGGACGCGTGGGGCACGGGGGAGGGGCCCTGTGGCCTTCAAAGTGCCAGTGGCGCCCGGGCCGGCGGCGGGATGAGCGGCCCACCACCACCGTGGTGGTGGAATACTTGATACGGCCCAGCCTCACCCAGACTCTACTTCCAGCAGCCCCCAGGTAAGTTGAGTTTGAGACCCCTGCCTTAGATGGATTGCTCTCTCCAAATTGAATGGTGAGGGTACCTAGAACCACCAAATTTAGTACACAGGTGAGATTCAAACTGTAGGAGAACATGGTTTGATGTGCTAGATTTTGCTCCTCCTTTGGATAATTTTCTGATTCCTTTTAAATTTTAGAAGTCTTCAGTTTGAGAATGGAGAATGGTTCTGCTCTAAAGGGTGACTTATTAATCATGATGTTTAATCCTGCTGGCTCCACCTACTCAAGCATTTTATTTCCAAGCATTGCCTGCCCACAAGCACAGCAAATGGCTATTCCTTGTTTGCTGTGGACATCCAGTTACACAAAGGTCCTCAACTTTGGTGAGGGTGAGTGTGGAGATAAGGAATTTTGAGAAAGTTTTAAGCGCTCTCACAAAATGGCTGCTGTGCGGAACTTGCCATTCATGGAAAGGCTGCCACGGTGAATATGGTTGATCTGAAAACACACCTCTGCATCTAAAAAAAGGTAACTTGCTCAAATTGTACAATCTTTAGTGGAATCTGTGTAGATGTCTATACTGTATTTTATGGCATTTCTCTATTCTGTTGCTGGTTTTATAGTGGAACTGTACACTGTCCAGGCAGCCTATGTAAGACTATAGGTGAAAATATTTTAATGTACAGTGTGTAGTTAAACTATGATTCTTTCCCATGGGAAGTGGTGATGGCTGCCAAGCTGGATGCCTTGAACAAGGGATTGGTCAGATCCATGAGGGAGGCGGCTGTCAGTGGCTACTAGCCTTGCTTGGACAGGAGGAGGTCTTGCACCCTTCCTGCTTGAGGGATTCCATGGGCCGCTGGTTTGCCACTATGTGTATGGAATGCGGGACTAGATGGATCTTTGGTCTGATCCAGCATAGCTTTTCTTGTGTTTTTAAAAAAACAACTAGGAAGGTCAGGGAGCCTGGCCAGCACCAAGCTGGAGATGCCAGATGTGCAACTTCTGCCCATGGAGGTGCTATTTATTTGCAACCACCAATAGATTTTGTGAACAAGGAAATGTGTAACTTACAAGACATTACACTGCACAAGCTACTGCAGAGAACCATAGTAGTCTTGTTTAGATGAGCTCAATGCATTTTTATAATTAAGAAATCCTGTTCCAACAAAAGGGAAAGGAAGTCTACAATTTGCTTTAAATACAGCACAGTAAAAAACTTGGAAGGACATCTCCTCCAGCTCTTTTAGTTGCTTGGAGTTATTTGAAATAAAAACACTGTGTAACACCAAAACCCAACAGAATAGCTTTAGAATACCACAAAGAGAAATTGTATGACAGCAGGTACCTTTAATAGAATGCAAGTGTTTCACCAGATTGGTTTTCTTTATAAATTCATGCAAGACTAGAAATCGTTCATTCTCACTTACAAGTGAGGAACTGCTACAATGAAATATTTAGGTCTGATAAAATATCAAGAGGCCAAGCCTGATACTAATAATTTAGAATTCACTATTTAAAATATCTGGGGTTAAATAAATCTGACTGGATGGAACCCTTGCAGAAAAAGTTGAGGCTTGATGCATGAGGTACCCACTGTTTCATCTTTAACAAATACAAGTGCCCTACGTCCACCCTGAGCTTCAAATCCAACACTCCTGCCCTTCCCAGATACGGTGAGAGAAGACTGTGGAGAAGGATCGGCTTTAAAGCAGAAACCTCTGGCATTTCTCTCTGCCCAACTCTGCATCCTACTGAAGGTTGTTTGCTGATGTACAATGATAGATGGGGTGAAGAAAGGTTCAAATATCTCCCTTAAAAGGCCACTTCCCTAAGTAAGACTACCGGAATGTGACATTGCCGCAAGGAAGAAAAAAAGGCAGGATTGCATTGCTGCTCACTGTTGAATGCAGCTAACTAAGCATACACTGGGGATGCTTCCCGGTTTCCCATGGAGGACTGGAAGAATGTCCACCGGCCAAAGCCACAAGCATACGGTTACCCTGTTAGCCACTTCACACATGCATCAACAGAACGTGCCCAGGGGTGCAGAGGAGAGGCTCTTTGTAGAAAATCAGCTCTCCCGACTTGCTCTTTGGGTGAGGTCATTTCTAGGCGCTGGGAGAAAAAGCTCTAAAAGCCTCTTTATTAAGCAGGCCCTTGCTGTACTATATTCATACTGTATTCTGCAGTACAATGCATTTTACCATTGCCTTACGTTGACAAGATCTGGCTTTCCTTGTTTTGCTGGGCCATATTAAAAAGAGGAACTGCAAAGTGTACAGAAGACATAACCTGCCATCTTTTGATGTCCTGCTCGGAACAGGGTTCTGCTCAAGGCAAGAACAACAAGCCAGAGAGCAGTTTCCACCATCTTGAGGATCTATGCTCAAGGAGTTCAATATGGTTTTCCTGCCAAAAGCTTACATCTTCCAAAAGACTTCTTGCTTGGTCACAGCACCAACAATTTGCTTGAAGAAGTTTCTGCAGACTGTCACCACCCTCTTAGCTACATTATGGGACAGCTGTGGCTTTCATTCTTCTGCAGAGAGAGGTGAACAGTTTAGATACAGCTTCTTTGACAGCAGGTGTAAGAGCAGAAAAGTCTCCCATGTTAAATTGTTCTGCCAAGGTATTTTGCACTTCACAAAGGATTTTATGACACACAAACTGTGGAGGCTATTGCCCAATCCTGTTGAGCCAAAAATTATAGAGTACACAGTGACTGGAGATTATGGGACTTATAGTCCAACATCTGTGGGCTTAAGGTTGGAAAAGGCTGAGTACACCTTTGAATAATGTGCTCAAAATTTGCTTGTAGTTGTGGATAGGGAAAGATGACGACCACTCAGGACAATATGCCTTTCTTCTGACTTGGCCTTCATTTATTATGTTCATCTGTTCCAGTGTTCTGGCCAACCAGCTGCCCACAGAAAAACCACAAGCAAGACCTGAGTGCACACACTCTCCCACCCAAGTTCCCCAGCAACTGGGGCACATAGGCATACTGCTTCTGATACTGGAGACAACATATAGCAACCAGGACTAGTAGCCAAGCAAACTGGTGTTTGAGGAATCCTTTTTTTAAAAAAAGCTGTAATTTCCATTGGTTAAATGAAAGGAGTAGTTACAATAAACTAAAATGGCATCCCCTTGTTGCTATAACAAGCAAAATGAAAACCCCTTAAAAAGAAAGAAGAAAACACAGCAAACCAAAGATGAGGCAGTTCGCCTCTATCCTCAAATGGACCCTCTTCAACACAGCCATGCACCATCTAAAAACAAGACATATTCTTTCCCAAAACATTTGTTTTTGTAGCATTCAGATATATGCAGTTCTAATAACAAGTGATTTGATCAATCTACTACAGTTTCTTAAACTGAGTGATAGGCTACTATTCTATATGAAAGAGTGGAGGTTTCCAAGGAACACAGTTTGAAACCACCTATTACCATTTCATTTTCATTTCATTCCATTTCTGAATGATGGAGACTCACTAACTGTGGAAATTTCCCATCTACTTGTTTAAGAGTCACTAACTTCAGCTTGTGAGAAGTGCATTGCTAAGCTAGGTTTACAATGCAGCTTGCCTAGAGTCAGAAAGTAGGGACAGTTCCTCACTTATTACATACTTAAACTATGGAATTCACAAGCTGTACTGAAAGCACCCAGTTTAGCTGGATTTAAAGGTAATTGGACAAATTCATGGAGATTAAGGCTATCAGTGGCTACTCATCTTGATGGCATTATGCTACCTCCAGTAATACAAGCAGTATTCCTATATGCATCAGTTCCTGGGAAGAAAGATGGCTGCTGAGGCATTCTTGTCCTGATTGGGCATTTCTCCACAGGTACTTGACTCACCACTATGTGAACAGAATGCTGGACTAGATGGACCTTGGTCTAATCTAGCATACTCTTATTTTTTTATGAGGGTCACTCTTCTCTATCTTTTGTTTGCAAGACTCATGATACCAGCCAAAATAATCTTTCCCACCTTCTTTTTGTCTTGGAGCGGGGAAGCACCTGTGTTTTGAATAATACTGGACCTCAATTGTCTTGTGGGGGGAAAGATGTTCCACCCAGCCAAATATGAATGCCAATACTTGGCATTTTTCTCTTTCAGCACTTGGGAGCTCAGCGAAGAACCAACCTGACTATGAGGCTTCATTTCTCCTCCCTCAGCAGTGTCTTCTATTTCTCCCTCTCCTTCTCCTCTGTCCACATAGGTGATTTTGGCTTCTGCAATTTCCTGCAAATAGAAGGACCCCACCATAGAAACAGGGTAGAAGCTGTAAACTGAAGAATATGAAGTAGTAGTAAGAATTGAGTTTGTCAAATACTTACTTCACCATCAACGCCGAGGAGTGCAAAACCAATGCTCTCCCCTACTCTTGGTGACTTCTGCGATTTCCAGACAACACCAGAACCTGTGCTTGAACCTTCTTTTGCACTCCAAACCTTCAAGAAAAAGAAATATACAATTTAAAACAAACTAGGGTGTTTTAGAAGGTGAAAAAGAAACACATTTAGGCAACTAAATATGCACTGGAACGTCACCCTTCAAGCAGAAGTCAATCTGCAATATCAACCCTTGGTTGAAAAGTTCATTACGGCTCTATGAATGTTACTGTGCAAATACTCTCATGGATAAAATGTAGATGTGTTAAAGGGAATGTAACCTAAGATACCAAGGAATGATGCATCTTTGTGTTAATGTCCACATCAGCAATAGCACAACCACATCGACAAGTACGTGCAAATTAAAATGTGCACTAAAATGAAACCAGTCCACAGATCTATGCCAATACAGAGGTAGACCTTAAGAATTTATCTTAAGTTTAGCAAGGTTATTTTCAATAGAATTTATATTGGCCTGGAGGTACCAGCAAATACAGATGCTGACCCCACATGAGGGGAATTACCACAATTGTCTGGCGCACAACAGGTTCCAGTGAACTTTATATAGGAATCATGGTGATGACTGGAACACATGTCCTCATCCTGAACCACATCTGGTGATTACAACGGAATAAACAAGACTAAGAAATTGGGCACAAAAACACTCCAGTGTCATTGTTGGCACAGGCCCACTTTTAGTGCACCAACAAGAATTAGGATATATGACCAACATAAATGTTTAAATTGGTCTCTCTTAAACTCTACCAAAGTTAGTAACTCAAATGGGCTTTTTCTAGGAAGGTATTTCTGGTGCCAAATTATTCAGGAACTTTACCACTCAAAAGTTTGACAATAGGCAAAGACTGGGAACAGAAAGTTTAAAGTACTTTTGCCACAATGACCTGAAATAATTCTGTCCTTTCTTCCTCAATTCAGGTTGACCCCTTATGCCAGGAACATCTTGAGACCACCTCCCTTGCTTCCTTGAATTCCCTCCTCAAAACTGTTGTTTTGCAAGTAGGCTCTGTATTACTCTGGGAGGACCTGTTCTTTGTGAAGTGCCATGAAGAAAGATGATGCTGTGCAAGATTATTTCAAGCAAGTGGAACACGTTTTTGGGAGGGTGCATCTTCTATGCCCTCAATTACTTCTACTGGTTTCAGATCATGGGTACGTAGGGTCTTTTTCAGCAATTCTTTTAATGGGAAACTAGAGCAGACACCGATCTTTTGATTGGAAAAGGGAAGAGAAGCAGATTGTTCACTCACTGTAACTACTTGTCCACCCTGAAGAATAAATCGAGCAGGAAATTGGTACATTATGTCAGCTTCATTTTTGTGTTGTCTTCTTACTGTCCAACCACTCAGCGACTGATCCTACAACCAAAGCAGTGATTTTAGACCAATGGATTTCAAGGGCTTTCTAGCATTCCGCATTAACTCTTCTACCAAAGAACCCTAGTACATTTTAAAGCATTCTGGGGCACATTTTAGGCTCATGGTCCTTATCTTTGTCCCATAAGCACTGAATGTGCAAGCTAGAACACAATCAATACTCTCTTGAGACTGCACACTGCAGATAAAGATCAGTGGTGGAGAACAAGCTGTCTTTTGGGGAAGCTCATCCATCATCATCATCCATCTCACACAGGAACACTAGATACTGAAACTAGTATTAATAGGGAAGAAGCAACAAGTGTGATGCTCATCCTTTCCTCTGAGGTCCCTGCTATTTTCCAGGGTGGGTTCTCATCACAAATACTAGTCTAAATCCCTAAGGACATGGGGAAAGAGAGCAGAAGGGACTGCAGAATAAAAAGGGGAAAGAAACAGAAGGAGTGGTGACAGGAAAAGTCAAGCAAGTCAAGAAAGTAACAGAAACAGAGCGAGTCAGAACAGGTCTCCCAGGCCATCTAGTCTGACCCCCCTGCTGCTTTCACGACATGCCCACCATGTGCATGTCCAGCCTCTCCTTGAACACCCTCACCGATGAGGCCTCAACCGCCTCCCATGGAAGCCCATTCCCCTTTCTCTCCACAAAATCATCCATTTGCAATGCGGGTTTCCAGAAGAGAATTGGCATTCAGGTTTTTGCTGATAATGCTAAACAGAGCTATGCATTAGTCCATGATTTAAAGCATTTTAAAATACCTCATGAGAATTGTTCTTAATTTTAATGAATTTCCCATCTGGGTCAATATCTTCAATTGAGATACTTCCTGAAGATGATGCACGCTGGACCACTTTGAAACATGTGTTGTGGGCTTGTCTGCTTGCTAATGACCGCTTCCTTTTCTTTCCTTGCAAGAAGAGACGGTGGCCCTCAGTAACTGTTTCCCGTATTCCACCACTTTCCGGGGAGGGTCTGGACAGTTTTAAACTGCAGAACAAGTAACCTTTCAAACAGGTGGTCAATTCCGTATGTTGGCAAAATCCACTCTCAGCTGTCACTGTTGGCCCTTTGCTATAGTGAACACAGCGTGGCACAATGCTGTGTCATTTGAGACCTGGGCTGGTTACCAGGGCTGACACTACCTATTAAGTTTGGTGTGCAAATCCCCATGATTGGCTCTTGGCATTTTTGAAAGGGCGGGTAATTTTCCCAGATAATTACTGCTTAATGAGTTTGGTACATACCAAGGACAGGGTTGTTATTTTTGGCAACAATAGCCCTGTGATGCTGAATCTAAACCATAGCTCTGCCTCAAGAAAGCTTAGCTAGTTTTGTAATAGAGAAAATGTCACAAGCTGAGAATCCTCCTTCAGGCATTCAAGTGGCACAGCCTGTTTTGCTTGGAAAGCATTCTTTATTGTCCCAAAAGCACAAATAATTCAGAATGAATCTCTGAGCATGCACAGAGCGATTTGTTGAACCTAATCTAGTATTCACCTCCAGGAACTCTCTTATGAACATGCCTGGACTCCATCCCTTCAGGGGGGGCCTTCAGAAAGTGAGCGAGCCTGCTCTCCATGCACCGATCCTCTAATTGGGCCACCTTCCTCTGCTGATGCCATGTCATGGGGTCAAGAGTCAGCGCTGTCTGGTCTGTGCCTGAGAAACACTTGTTTTCAGATTCCCCTCCCACTGGCTGTATATCTTGGTCATTCCCAGGAGCTGTCTGACCTTGAGATAAGAGCATCCACCTCCCTCATCTCAGTGTCTTGGCATGGCCCATTCTCCCCAACTCTCCTTTGATCTGCTTCACATTCTGATTCTTTTGAAAACCAGCCAGCGGTCCTTGAGAACGTGTGCACAAAGTAGCCATCCCTTCCAATCCCAAGAGTAGGGGTGGGGATTGCAAGCCCAGGGGCCAAAATTGGCCCAAGGTGGTACGGATGGCCATACACCCTTCTCCTGGGCATAACCCCTTCCCTGCTACCATCGATTGTTTGGTAGTTTTCCAGCTTTCATAGTTTTCATGTGTTTCCCCTGTACATGTTTCTCAGAAACTGAATTTGGTCCTCAGGCCAATAGAGATTCCCCACCCCTGTGGTAGAGGAAGTTTCTTTCAACCCATTTTCCTAGCAGTTTTTGGAGTGGCTCAACGGCAGCATGCATCTTTAATGCTCCATTCCATAGATGTATCCATCAGCTGTACTGGTTCCTTGCCCTCCCTCTATTAAAAGATGCTCAAAAGATAAGTTTCCAAACTTACCGCTCTTCTTCTCCTTCCAGCATCGCCCGATAGGCACTGATCTCAAGATCCAGAGCCAACTTCACATCCAGCAGATGTTCGTACTCGTCCAGCTGCGCCTGCATCTGCTGCTGCATCTTTGCCATTTCCCTCTGCTTTTCAGCTACACGTCTCTTTGACAAGCCGCGTTCATGGGCAATCGTCTCTTGCAGATCCCTGATTCTGGCCTCCAGTTCTCTTATCCTGGCTTCCAATGCCCCATTCTTGGATTTGACAGAAATGTATTCATGTCAGACATGTGAGTTTGATTTCTTTTTTTAAGTTGAGAGTTAATGGGCAGTATAGAACTTAATTAATAGTAGCATACTATTGTGTAAGGGATGTGGGTGGCAGAGTGGCCACCCTTGTTTTAGTGGATTAAGAGCAATCAGATCCCTCTCAAGTATATATCGCTTTACCTGATTTGGGCTACCCTGTTTACCTGTGACATCAGAGAATCAACCCTCATTTTGGTTTCTTTCAGCTCCTCCAGGGCAGAATTTGCAAGATCACCGTTTTTCACAGCAGAAAGATGAACATTTTCGATCTGTGGAAACAGGCTGATAATTTAGCATAAAGCAGTGAGGTCATTTTTGAGAATTCAGAATAGCCAGCACGTTTACTATAGTAATATTCACATATCCGTGAGTACATCTGTTTGTCGGCCCATTCAACCTGGACTACCCCCTGGCAGGGGCAGGTGCACAGAATTAACAACACAGTCCTACAGAGACCTGCTAGGAAGTAAGTCCGAAATCCAGTGGGAGCTCTTCCACATAAATTGCTGGTAACCTCGCTGGAGCATGCTGCTGGTTGTACGCGTGTCCCGGGCTTCCACTGGCACCTTGCTGGCTACTGTGCAGACAGTGCTGGCCTCGAGGGGCCCATGGTTTGATCCAGCAGGGCTCTTCTTACAGTCACTGCAACTGCAGCCTAAGGTTCACTGTTATTTAGCAACCGCCCAGGAGGTCCACCATCTTACTAACGCTCCCCAATTTGCCTGTTAAACATGTCAAGCTCTACATGATATTACACATCCATGAGAACAATGGAGACCTCAGACAAAGTGTTGCAGTGCATCCCCAGTCTTTTAGAGGAATTCTCCTATTCAGGATTTCGGCAAAGCTAGAAAAAGTCACACAGCAGTATCTAGAGAACACTTTTCGGTTGCCACCTTCCTGAAACCTTCCTCTGCTGTGTGCTGGAGATCAGGTTAGTTTCTAGCTCTGAACCTATATGCTTTACTGTCACAAGTTTGAGGAGGAGCTAGAGAAGCATGGTTGGCTTGGGGATGCTGGAAGCTGTGGTCCCACACATCTGGAAGGAACCAAGTTGGGGAGGGTTGCTATGAGCGGTCAGAGGTTCAACCAAGCTAACGCCATTTCCTTTTCCTCCATTCTTCTCTCCCCCTCACCAGATGACACCTTCCGCATCCCATGGCTAAGCCACAAGTTTACTTGCTGGACCCTAGTGCCCTTGCCAACATCCAGGGTCCTTTAGACCAGGGGTGAGGAACCTCAAAGGTAAGGAAAAACCGGCCTTCTGGTGTTCCCCTAATGGCTCCACTCCTTTCTCCACAATCTGATGGCTTGGCATTATCTTTTTCGTACTACTTCCTTCTATTCTAAAAGGTGAAAATGCATCTCCCAAGGCTTAGTTACAGGCGGTAAGAACTGCAAGGGAAACCGTGCTGCTGGTTGGGTGGTTCTGGTTTGGCTCCCTTTATCTTTAGCTCCTCCCACCACTAGTATGTGGCTCCCAGGGCTTCTCCAATATTAGTTTCAGCCCTCTGACTGGAAGAGTTTTCTTACCCCAGCTTCAGAACACCCTTCCCCTTTCCCCCTGCAAAAACAAGAGTGAGCAGTGCCCACAGAAAAAAAAGAAGGCATCCATGACGTTAGCACAGCTGTGGACAGGCAGCATTTCTGCCCTTGCTCCCTACTGGCTCACTCACTCTGGCCTGGAAGTTTCGTTCCATCTGATCTTTATACTCCTGAATCCGTTGTTCATGCTCCTTTCTGAACTCTTGGAGAGCGCTCAACAATTTCATCTCAAATTCCTGCTGACGGCCAGACTCTATTTCTTGAATCCTACTCTCATAGAATTGCTTCTTCCTCTTAAGCTCCTAAGAGGAAAAGGAAAGTGCAAAAGAAAAATACAATGTGCAGGATGCATTTATTAGGCTTAGGGTATTTGGAAGAATAGTACATTTCAGTCTACCAGAAAAAATAAAATAAAATGAAGTACTTTTGCCACCAGAGGTACCACCCAGGCATACAGAGCATGCCACATTTCTCACATGAGAGAGGCAGTTCTAATGGCCACTTGTGACCAAGGGTAAGACATCAGCAGAAGTTAAAATAATGCACAGTAGCCTGAAGTCATCCAGAATGTCATTGTCACAGATTAAGGAGAAAATGCAGAAAAGCAAGCCCTTCTCTCCATGCCCCTCCCCCTGCACACTTTCCCAGTTTTTAAATGGCGCATTTAGTCTTTAGTGAAACACTTCCCCAGAATACCTACTTAATATCTCATTTCCCTCCTCAAACCTTTTAGTTCTTCCCTGAAGCTCACATTTAGGAACTATATTTACTTATATGAAATTATCTGGACAAAATAAGCAAAAGCCTTGCCATAATACGACTGAAAAAACCTGACACTTGAAAAAGGATTTAGAATTAAGATGGGATTCCTGATCTGATCAGAATCCAGGGTACAGGTCTTGCTTCCCACCAACACCTTAGAAATGCTAGTGTCCCCATCCTGGAAGGACTTCATTTGAAGATACACTCTTAGATATGTTGTTTACCTGTCCTGAAGATGCCTCTTCACTTTGTGCTGTCTGAATCCCTACTGTTTTACCCTAATGTGTCTCTAGCATTCTGTCTCCTTGATCCCAACCCCTCCTCCAAAATGTGTATGTAACTGATAGGTTATAAGGCATCTTGTACAGACTCCATCTTTGTCGTCCTTTTCAGTGGCTGCCCACATGTCACGTGTCTTTCCTGTACGTCTGAATAAACTGTAAATGTTTCCTTTGGCTGTACACCCCTAGCATGCCTGTTCTCCCTATTTTCTCCTGCCAGAATCCTCAAGGGCAGAATCCTGCAGCCTACGAACAGCATCTGGGAGCTCATAGGATTCTTCAGAGTAGGAGTGCCCCACACCGCTTTGCAGCCAGCACAGAAAGAGCTGCACTGGCTGCCCCACATCTCGCAGGTCACCGCTGAGCCTTGCAGGGGGAAGAAGCGGGTGTGTGGTGGAAGGCCCCAAGGGGAGGAGGCAAGCAGGGGCTGCGGATTTCCACCCGTTCCACAGCCTCCTTCTCTCCCCATCACTGGCCCTACAACTAAATGGGCCAAACTTCATTTCAATGTCTTAGAAGAAGCTTACAAGAAGAAAAACTTGCTTTGAAAAAGGGAAATCCTTACAGATTAACCAGAAGCATGAACAGGACATAAACAGAGACTGTGTTGTGTAGTGGTTAAGAGGGTAGGAATGGCACTCAGGAGATGTGGGTTCTAGTCCCTGCTCAGCCATGGAGCTCATTGGGTGACTTTGGATCAGTCACAAATTCTCCAGCCCAACCTACCTCACAGGGTTGTTGTTGTGAGGATAAGATTGAGAGGAGGAGGAGAATTAGGGCAGAAAAGAGGCAGGATATAAATATAACGAAATCAATAAATAAAACAACAAGCTGTATAAATCGATTCAGCAAGCTGTACAAATCAATAAAACAACCTCTCCAGAGTTCTAAATGGGAAAGAATTTATATATTTTCTGGATTCTGAGAAAGATGTAGCCATGTAGGCACCCTACAGAAAGGGCCAGTCACAGAACATGCTGAGGCAGGGAAGCACAATTTCAAATGCCTTATTACATTTGCGCCATCAGGGCCTCTGTTACAAAATACTGCAGAGCAGATGTTCATCTGCAGATCTCAAAATCAAAGAAGAGACATACGAGAAAAGAAACACCTGATGTTTTAAGTTTTTTCTTTTGCAGAATAAGCTAACCCAGTTCAAAAGCGTAACAAGTAAACATTTTAAATAAACAGGCTCAATTGGAATTTAGGAAGCATATCATGGCAGATACGTACATTTTCATGAAGGTTCTTCAGAAATGTCACTTGATCTTGCAGAGTTTTCATTCCAGTTTCCAGATCTGCCCTCCTCAACCTCTCGTTGTGAAGCTGGTTTTTGGAATCATCTGCCATACCCTTGAACTAGGACAGAAAAAACAGTTTCACTGTTAGTAAATAGCATCAGCAAATTTAGCAAACATTTTTCAAGATACCAAACCTTTAAAAGCTGCACTTAAGTTCTACCCATTATTTATAGTGAGCAGTAAACCAAAAGGGAAACCGCGATTAGTCAACGTATGCAATGGAGTCCAAGACCAAGCCTTCCTTGGACTCACATATCTATTATAAACATATAGGCAAGCTTTTAGTATTTCGCTCATCATGGGTTCTATATTGTACTTTTTTCTGTGTATTATTATTTCTACCCTTAAAATGATACTGTTCCTCTAATCCAAAAGCTATACATGCTACCAGAAAAAAGGCTGAAACTCTGAAGCCCAAGGCAATCCAGTGCAGACTAATAGCCACACTGATCATGGACTGACTGAACATGTGTCTCTAATAATGTGTGGATTTCTGCCGATGCACACCAAGCCTTAGAGCAGTAACTTCCAAAGGAGGTTCCAGGAAATGCCAGGTCTCCTCAAGTAATTTATGCTGATGGACAAGCTTCACTGAAACAAAACTTAGCTAGCTCTACCACTCCTTCCAGTTGTTGTAAATATGTATTCCAGAACATGGTGTCAGCTCACATGGGATATATTCAAAGTAGTCAAACAGGCCTGTCCAATGCCTTGTGTGAACTAAACAAAAGTACATATTCCATTATTTAACTGTTTTGATCACCTTTAATTGTTACTATAATGCACATTTGTTCTTTTTGCTAGACAGTCGTTCCTAGCAAAAAGAACAAAAGGGGCAGACTGCAGTTCTGAGGTCACAGATCAAGAGAGCAGAGTTTCAGTGAGCCAAAAGCATCCTGGAGAGCAATGTTGCATGTCCCTGGAGATCCAATATGTGCAGTGGATGTAACTGTTAATGAATATCAAACCTCAGTATGCAGTGAACCCTTGGTCTTCTCACCTCTCAGAGAAGTGAAAAGAGCATAACAAAAACAGTGAAAACACAACTGTTGACTTGCATCCTGACATATCAAGGACGGTTTGCATAGTTTCAGCAGACACCTAAGATTTACTGTGAAACGCCTTACAGAGTTGTTTCGATCCGTTGATTCTTGAAGTTCATTCTCCAAGCTGCGTTGTCTGCTCAGTGATGTCATCAGTTCAGCCTGTTTGGAGATGAGCTGTGCATCAAGATCCTTTGCACGAGCCACGGCCAAGCTTAAATCAGTTTCTTTTTTCGCATCCCTGTGAACAAGCAAGTTGTAAAGAAGAAAGCCTTACAACTTACATTTTTTAAAGTACTCAACTCTGTTTTAGGATTTTAAAACAGAAGTTAGATCCATTAGAAAAGAAGGGTGAGCTTGGACTCTAATAGTAACTATTTGGGCATCATAAAGTAACCAGATATACTCCTCTTCAAGGCAGATCATGACCCTGGTTGGTTGTAACAGTGGTATCCAATGGTAAGCCATGGGTTAATTGCAGGATTGTTAACTACTATGCTATGTTAACTACTACTCCATAGTAGATTGTTAACTACTACTATGCTACACGTGGGATTGTTTAATGAGCACACAACCTCAAGTGTCCCTGTTCGGATATCCCAGTATCAACCCTTGAATGCTGCACTTCAGGGTTGCTTAGGGAAACAATGTAGTGAGCATTCCCATAATTAAGGGCTAATTAACCCACGATTTGCCGCCAGATACATCCAAATAGGGTCAAATAATGTCTTCATTTTAGAGTATATTCACATCAGAAGTCAGAGGCTAAAACAGACAGGATTAACTGGGACATAGCAGAGGTAATTATCAATTTTTAACAGGCTGGCATTTTTGTACCTTCAATAGGAAGATTTGATCCACAAAGATTTGCATACATTGAAGGTTTCCACAGCATTATTATTAACTAATGATTTATTCAAATAAAGTTCCTGTTTGAAAATAAATAAAAGCAGGCTAAGCCAGATTTTCCTGGACAATTGGCAACCTGTTTGCATTTTTAACACTAAGGCATTTAATATTTATTGCATGGTTATTCTTTGATTTGTGTTTTTTCACCTTTTTCATGAGCTGCTTGGTATGCTTATTGGTAGAAGAATGGGATATAAATATTCAATAACCATCCTCTGGTAACTCTCTCAAACAGTTCATTATGCATCTGTTTAAATAATACACTTGCACATATCAAATTCAATTCCGTATTTGTTTTGGAATGTGTGTGTTTTGAAGCACACTGTTCTGAAATAATTGTTCACAAGACAAGATGAATGGGTTGGGGTTTGGGAAAGCCGCCCTGAGGCTTGTTGCAAAGGAGGCGGCATAAAAATGCTTTAAATAAATAAACTGTTCCTTAGTGTATTATTGTATTTTTCACTGGCATGGATGGAAAGAAGCACTTGTGGGATGTGCCACCTCAGGTCCCCATATAAACTAACCAGCTTTAAGGTATATGCAACTTTGCTTTGGGCTTAATGGGTGCCCTTCACTGCTTACTAATGCCCTGTAGTCCTTAGCAAGGGAATTGCCTCAAAAATGTAACCAACACCACCATCATCCGTATGTTTTAGTCAGACATAAAGCCCCACTAACTCCAGTTAGTGCATACAGAGCTGGTGTGGTGTAGTGGTTAAGAACACAGATATGGGACTCAGGCAATCAGGGCTCTAGTCCTCACTCAGCCATGGAGCCAAGTGGACTCAGACTCAGTCCAGCCTACCTCACAGGGTTGTTGTGGAGATGAGGCTGAGAGCAGGAGGAAAATGACGTAAACCGCTTTGGCTTACAAGCAAAACGTAGGATATACAATATAAGCTGCTTTGGCTTAAGAAAACAATGGGATATAAATCAAATAAATAAATGCAGAGTTGCAGCCTAAATGCTTGAAGCTTTCAGGAAGTTCTCCTGTGATCAGAAATCCTCATAGGCCCTCATAAGAGATACATCCAACTTTAGTAAAGCACATTTCCCAGTTCCATTAGAGAAAATACGAACCCCAATATTGTCTGAATTATGCGTACAAAGATAGTTTTGGCCATTGCCTAGACTTTGAGGATCTGCTAGGCCTCCAGCTGGCAGTCCAGAGGCAAAGCCTCAAGGAAAACGTTTGTATCCATGGCAACCCCTACGCCACCCACCCCAGAACTGAACCATTCCAGAATATCTCCACAGAAAAGCACCGTGGAATCTCGGGGGAACAGAGTAGCTGCCAGGACTTGATACAAGACTATCCTGGCGTGACAGTCCATGGTCAAATGTGCATACCTATTCATGTTTTATCTACAATTAATTAAATCCATTGACAGCAGCTTCAGAACTGTTGAGAGGGAGTGCATCTTCACTATTGCATTAAAAATACATATACACACTTCCTTTCCACTAAAAATCATGTTTTAGGGCAGTTGTCAAACATAAAATATAGGCATTTAACATAAATAACCAGCTGGGTTATCAGTTCGGGAAAAAAATCAACTGTCGAAGCCTTGTTCAGCAAACAAAGCCACCTAACAACCAAAAGCCCACTTGAATGAAAAATGTGGCTGGCTTGCTTGCTGGCAGGGCAGCCAGAGAGTATCAAGGCCTGGGAGCAACTCTCGAGAAGGCCTTTGCCTGAGTTCCTACTAAATCTGCCTCTGATGATGGTGGGACAGAAGAAAAGGCCTCTCCCAAGGATCTTGGTTACTTATATCATGCCTTTATTCCACAGAATTCATGGCTGCACACACCGTTCGTGCTCCTGCCTCTTTATCCCCAGAACAAAAGCTGTGAGATAATGGCTGACAGATAATGGCTAGAAGATTTGAACTTGCCCCTCTCCAGTCCTAGCCCGACATGCTTAACCACACCACCACTGCGAGGGCACTAATGGGATTTGCTGCCACAAGGCAGCTTTAAAAGGGATTAGACCAGTCCACCAACAAGTCCTGTCAATGTCTCTTAGCCAGGGCTCCTCCATGTTGAAAGGCAGCATCTCACTAAGTGCCATGACCTTTGAACAACAGGGAATGGCTATGGATTTCATGTCCTGCTGGCCAGTTTCTCAATGGCTGATAAACCTTCGATGAGGTCAAAATTTATAGTTCCTAGGCTCTCCAGCATTCTTTGGACCTTTAACAATAATACCAAAATAAACTTCTAGAAATCTTTTAGTGCCAACAAGCACGTGGACTGGGGCAATCCAGTAGGTACTGTTTACTTGGATTTCCAAAAGGGTATTGACAAGGTCCCTTACCAAAGATACCTGAGCAAACTTGGCACTTGTCAAATGAGGGGGTGGTGGTTCTCTTGTGGATCATTAACTGGCAAAGAATAGAAAGCCGAAAGTGGGAATAAATGGTGATTTCTCTCAACAGAGGGATGTAACAAGTGGAGTCCCACAAGGTTCTGTACTAGGACCAATGCTTCTCAATCTATTCGTAAATGATCTGGAATTAGGAATAAGCGGTGAAGTGGTCAAGTTTGTTGATGACACCAAACCATTTAGGGTGGTTAAAACCAAAAAGGGCTTGAGAGAAGCTCTAAAGGAAGCTCTCTAAGCTGGGAAGATGGGCATCAAAATGGCAAATGCAGTTTGATGTAAGCAACTGCTAAGCAATGCACATTGGGTCAAAATTTCCAATATTATAGAAGCATAGAAACAGAGCAAGTCAGAAGGAGCCTCCTGGGCCAACTAGTCTAACCCCCGGCTCCAGGCGGCTCCGCTCATGACGTGCCTACCATGTGCATATCCAGCCTGTCCTTGAACACCCTCCCAATGGTGCCTCCACCACCTCCCGTGGAAGCCCGTTCCATACCTTGTTATACAGTGGCACCTTGGTTCACGAACTCAATCCATTCCATGACTCTGGTCATGACCCAAATTGGTAGTGAGCCAAGTCAAATTTCCCCATAAGGTTCAATGTAAACAAGGTTAATCAGTTCTGTAAATTTTTTTAATCACAAAAATGTGAAACAAAGTAACAACAACAAAGTAACAAAGTACAGTACACTAACCTACAAGGTGGGGGGGAGCTTATTGTTTGGAGGGAGAGTCCCCCTCCGTAAGGACATCGGGGAGATCTCCTTCAGGTGTTTCCTCTCTTCTTTGTCTCTTAGCTGCAGGGTCAATTTTGGTGAAAAATCTGCACATTCTGGTCACCTTCATTACTGCTCTGCATTTTTTTACCATTATCCTTGCTCTGCACTTTCTTTGAAGGCATTATTATTATTGAATAATATTTTACAATACTGTATGCGCTAAAAAGCACACAAGGAAGCTTCACAGCAAGTGACCACAGGTCTGTCTGCAACCGCCAGCAGGAAAGATGGGTGCGATCAGGATCATGCTTGTGCGGGGAAGATAGCCGCGATCACGATTGTGTTTGTGCAGGAACATGGCCGTGATTGTGGTCGTCACCCAAGGCAAAATTTTTCCAAAACTGTTGTTCGTGAACCAATTTGGTCGTGAACTGAGGTGTTCATGAACCGAGGTACCACTGTATAAGTGCTGATGGGATTTCAGCTCTCAGTGACTGATCAAGAACGGGATCTTGAGCTCGTGATGCAGAGCTCAATGTGACTGCCTTGTCTTGGTTCTGATATCATATTTTACCCATGGTATGGACTACTGAATGCTAGACTGATGTGATGTGAAAACTAACCTCACTAACAAACCATGGGGTGTCAACCATGAACAACCCAGAAACACAGAAACAGAAAAGTTGGAAGGGGTCTCCCAGGCCATCTAGTCTGACCCCCAGCTCTAGCCGGCTCTGCTCATGACATGCCCACGACAGAAGAGAACCCATAGTTTATAGTTTTTCCAGGATACAGAGATGACAAACAATAGCCGTATCCCAGCCATCCATAAAACCAGCTACACTACGTGTTAGTACTACTGTGCTGCAAAGGCATTTGGCATACAGGGCAGGAGCAGATAAAGGATGGGGGAAAAGAAGCAACCCAGCGATTGAGAAAACAAGTCACAACCTGTGCAAACATCTGCTAGGCAAAGGGCAGTTGAGATGACTCAACAGCCGACTGGCTGTCAGGGAAGAACAGGAGATATCGGACGATGCTTGCAGCATGCTCACCATTTATGCTTTTACTCAGCAGCCCACAAACAACTCCTTTGTAGGTGCTGAGCATGTTGTCCAAATCCATGGGTTAAATGGCGAGTTGCTTGGTTCCTAAACAACCCAGTGATCCAGATGCAGGGAACATGCCAGCAACCTATCCAGCAAAGAAGGGCAATCATGTATTGCTGAAGAGGCAGGAAGCACATCTCTCCTGCTCATCTTCAACGAACCTATGGGCTCATCTGTTGTGCAAACTGGATAGGGTAACCATGGGTTAGCTTCACAATCTGTTCATTCCCTCCAGTATAATCAAATAGCAACTACTATTTAAACTGGCTCTCATTTTTTAATCAACAAGGTTACAAAGAAGAAAAAAGTATTATTCAACATTTCTGTTGGAAAGCCAGCCATAAAAACAACTCAACCAATTGCTCTGATTGCTGGCAAATATTTTATAACTTTTATGGAGTGAAGCCCATGAAGCATCAAACCTGCATTTTTTCAAGAACATCCAAACCACACAAGCATTTCCTGTGAATTGTTAAAAAACAAAACCAGACATTTCTAATTCAAAGGTGCTTCAGTTTCCTTCCCTAAATCTGAATGCCCTTTTTTGCAAGATTTTCAGACCTGCCAAGTCGGAAGCTTTATAAACATGCCATGATTTACTCAAAGCACAAAAGGAGCCGTTTTGAGCTTTGCTTCTGGGACAGAAACCAAAGAAACAGGAGAACAGCCCACAAGAATTCACAGCAGCTGAAGAGAGATTTAGGCTGCAATCGTACACACACTAAACACAGGGAGTAGGTCCCACTGAACTCATTGGGGTTTGCTACTTCTGACTAAATATGCATGAGATTGCACCATTAGCAAAAAAATAAACTGCTGGGACTATGACTGCATTACAATGGCTGTTTTTTGGAAAGCTTTTGAGAGAAGTTTAGGGTGCATTCTGCTTACACTGAGTTAACTGCCATTCCTTAAGGTCAATGCACCTGCAGAGACCGCCAGTGGCTCCTAAAACACTCCCCATTTCCTCCTGCCTTCAAAGATTATTTCTGATTTTAGAAATCAAACTCTTGAAAAACATGACAGTACCAAGTTTTCTTTCTTCAACAATAGCCCAACAAAATGACTCTTCCTTGCCCAAATTATACTAATGAAATGAACAAAGCTGGGCATGGTAGGGGGAACTATGACATGAGGACTTGCACTGAATAACAACTTTGCTCAGGTCCTGTACTCAAGCTGTATCAGCACATCTGGAGAATACCAGGTGGGGAAAGGCTGTATTGCATCACATAAATAATCACAAAAAATGGATTTTGAAATTAATGGCAGCTCTTTGGCCCTAGGCCCTGTTGCTGAATCTCAGGGTCCCAGTAATTTTTGTCTGGTTCTCTTAGCTTCTAAACAAGGGCACTGTTAGGTACCGAAAAGATCTAGAATTCAGGTCTGTGGAACAAAAAAGGGGGGGTACATATTTGCCTATGTTACTTTGCGTATGTTCTAAAATCTATCTGAATGTGTGTCTTTACAGGACCCTGTTCCTAAGGACATCCCCTGTTTATAAAAAGGGATACATGGCAAGAGAAGAGGAGGGCATGTGACTTCAAAAAAAAAAAAAAATCTCGGACAGAAAGATTAAAGGGGGCGGGGGCAAGTGGAGGTGGGCCCATGTGGGCAGAAGGTAACTCATCCAAGGGATCAGGTGCCACGGGGATAAGCGGAGCCCCTTTATTTCAGCAAGTGCCCATGGACCGCGGAATGCGGGGCTGACGGCTGCCCATCCTCGCCTGCGCTGATCCTAGTTCCACCACCCCTCGCAAAGGCTGCGCCCCCGAGCCCGAGCCCTCCGAGCCGCGCGCGCCTCTAGCAGGCTGCTGCCGAAGGAGCCGGAAGGCCCGGCTCGGCGGCAGCGCCACTTGCCTGGCCAGCAGCTGCTGGTGCTCCTCGCGCAGCGCCTCGAGCGCCACCTGGAGGGCGGCCCGCTGCAGCGCTTGCTGCTCCAGCTCCCCGCGCAGCTCGGCGAGCTGGCCCTCGTAGCTGCGCCGCAGGATGCGCGCGTCGCGGCCATCGCTGTCCTCGTACTGGGCCAGGCGGCGGTGCAGCGCTGCCTTGGAGGCCTCCAGAACCCGGACGCGCTGGATGTACGAGGCCAGGCGGTCGTTGAGCTGGCGCAGCTCCTCCTTCTCCTGCAGGCGGCTCCGACGGCTCGGGCTGCGCAGAAGCCAAGGGGAGTCGAGCGCCCCCAAGGCCAGGCCGCTGTCTCCCGGCGTAGAAAACCTGGTCGCGGCCATCGCGGGTGGCGAAGCGTGGGGGAAGGCGCGGCGCCCAGCGCTCGGAGAGCCACCTCTGGCGCCGCCTGCAAGCCTCGCCCCGGTGGCAGCGGCTCCCTCCGGGGAAGCGGGGGAAGACGCCGGTCGGGCGGCCATCGCCTCGTTCCTGTCCTGCTTGGCGGCAGGCGAGATCCAGAAGGGCGCGCACGACGGATGCTTATTGCGGCCTCGGAATCAACAGACCGGCCGTAGCGGCTGCGGACGAAACCCCCTGTTCGTAGCAAAGGGAGGCGGAGGATGGGTCCTTTTAAGGGGCCCGAAGCCGCGTCCGAAGGAGGCTGTGTCGAGGCCTGGAAACAAGGGAGCGGCCAGAAGGACACCTTCAGTGTCTCCTCTTGTAAGGGGCATCCGAGCAATTCGCAGCGGTCGCGGGAGACGCGCTGCCCCGTGGCCACACCAAACCATTCCAGCTTCCATTAGCAGTCTAATGAGTCCCGCTTGGCATTCAGACTTTTTCCTCCCAATAGATGCGCAGAGGGAGCCCGAGTGGAGAGGAGGCTTCTGTTTACTTGTTTGGGCACTCTTATTTTCTCTGGTTCTAGGTAGTTGCTTTAAAAGTACGCAGCTTTTCTCTATCATCATCATTACTATTTTAAGAGCAGAAAGCCTGCACTCACTGCAGAGTGATTTGGAGATGGTGATTTGGCTCTTCCAAAGGGCTGTCAGCTGAAGCTGTCCCTTTAAGGTCCTCTGCATCCTATTATCAGGTGATCTACTTTAACTCCATGCCAGGACAAACGTCACCTGCAGATTTTAAATATCAAATGCTTCTCTGTGTGTATATGAAACAGTAGATAAGGCAGCTGCTTGCTTTGACTTTTCTGGCCTATTGGCAACTGTTCTCTTTCCCGCCTCCTGGAAACTCTTTCCTCTTACAGCTGTGCCCTCAATAAACCAATAAGAGATATGAAGCCCAAATAAACAAGCATAAAAACAAACTCTGAAGTTATTTGAATGATGGCATTTTTGGTAATTTGGTAAATACTAATTTATTTGGTGGTATATCTAGCTGTGGGTCAGGCTATGAGATTTGCTTTCTGTGTTGGTTCTCTAATTCATTTAAGGCAGGGGTGGGAGTCCCTTTTAAGGTTTCCCAAGATGGCCTTGATCCCTTTCCTCTTCTCAAATGTTTCAATGCTTCCGCTAAGGCTTATAAGGCAGTAAAAGCTTCATGCTGGTATTTTGGCTGCACCCCTTTTGCACCCCATCCTTGGAGAGTCTCCAAAACTGATTTTGTCCTTCTGGCTGAAATAAATTCCCTGCTCCTGATTTAAGTTTATAACATTCATATCCTGCTTCACATTCAGACAGACACTCAGTTCAACAGCTGGACTCTTGGTTTGATTGCAAGGAACAAAGACTAATACTAATCCCTCTTCCCCCACCACATATTTCTTCACTTAAGGACCAGGGTGAAAGTAAATGGACATAGATAAATCTTTTGCTGGACTTTAGCTGTGATCTTGCAGCCCTGCCTTTCTCTCTCCTGCTCTCCTTTAGCCTCACCTCTTCATTCCCCTTCTCATATTTGGCTGTGCTCTTATAAAGAAACAGGTCTGAGTATCTTATATAATAAAACAGTGTTCCCCAACCAGGTCCCCTCCAGACACAGCCAGCTGTTGGCCATGTTGATTGGAAATTATGGGAATTGCAGTCCAGCACATCTGGAGGAGACCTGGTTGGGGAAGGGTATAATCAAGGAGTCCTGGGCATGTATGTGCAGGGTACCTTTATCAAAGACAATTGTTCCGGTCTGCCTCTACAAACTGAAGAATAAGGATAGAAAAGATGCTGAAATGATGGTACATGGGTTAACTAGATCTTCCCATTATTTTAAATGAAAAAAATCACTACTTTGAATGAATAAAACATTACTATTAAAATACTTCTTGGCCACCAGAACCCTCTCAGGGGAGTGTACAACAGTATATGCAATATAATAAAAATCAAAAACAATCACAATAAAACCAATAATATCAACATGAACAGGTGCCAAAACAAAGTATGTTCTCAGGGTCTTCTTAAATGCCTGTGATGACAGAGCATGATAACCCCTGATGGCATCTTGTGTGGCCAACGTAACTGATCTCACAGGTGGGCAAATAAGAAGGCCCTCTCTTGCTGATCTTAAAGTGGAGCAGATATAGATGAGGGCAATCTTTTGAGTAATTTGGTCCCAAACCATGTACAGGACATGGCTTACTGTGGTCAATATTAAAGTTGTTCACTTTCCACAGGCTGGGGGAAGGTGGAGTGGAAACTCTGCATGCAGAAGGCCCCTTGCTCAGCATCTGTCAATCAGTCCCAGCAGAAGATGGATGCAAAATTGGCTTCCATAGAATAATACAAGCTTGGCTTTTGTATTCAGAGTTCACAAAGAAGAACACAATGGTGCTTTGGGGCTTTTGTTTTCAAAGTGCAAAAAGGCTTTGCACCTGCTCAGACTTCCAGTACTTTGCGTGGGCACCCTCTTGTCCCCTCAGCTGCAGGACTTAATGATTAGCTGTTTCCCAAAGGGCCAGATTTACAGCTGGCCATGAGTGGGTGGGTCGAGCCAGAGCAACCACGGAAGTTTTCTGCAGAGTGGCTGCAAGATATGGCTTAACAGTCAGTGCATTGTTTCCATGACTATCGCAATGCTACAGATAGTGGCACCTGCTGCACCTGTGTTTTGGGAATCAACAGAAGGATTCCGAGGAACATTCAGGGCTTATTCCCACACACTATAGATTTGGGATAATAGACAACATTTATCGCAGGTAAAAGGGCCCCATTCCATCTCATTCATTTCAATGGGCCTACTCTACCTAGGACTAAACCTGGATCCTGCCAAAGCACTGCAGCATTTATGGTGCAACTCGGCTTGTTTCTTTGGAAGTGAATCCGATCAAGATTCATGGGGCTTGATTCCAAGTAATTCTGCATGGATGGATTGCAGCCTTTGTTGATTTAGCTAGTAGTTTTAACCCAGGAGTTTTTCCTGGTCAATCCCTAACCATACCTTGCATTTGTATAGCACTTTAAGTACTCATAGGGTATACCATTTCTAGTTGCTTTTATTTACACATGCATTTTTGTGAAAATACATTTTATTTACCCATCATTTTAATAATTAAATTAATAATTTTAATAAATTGATAATTTTATACAGTTACATTTTCTTTTTTCCTCCTTTTTCTCTTTAGTTTTGAATTGTTATTGTTATTTCTGAGTTGTTATTATTGAAAGTCTTGGGTTGTCATTGTATGTTATTATTGAATATTTAAATTGTATTTTATATTATTATTTTTTGTAAGCAGTCCTGAGGCTTCATAAAGGATGGGGTAGAAATGTGTAAATTAAAATTTTTTAAGTTGCTTTCTTTGCAAGTTGTAAACCTTTTCCAGCCACAGGGCCAAAGTCCTCTTTTTGTGTGTGTCGGGGGAAGGGGGGAGCTCTCAGGGGGCTGACTTCCAGGGTTTGTAAGGCTAAAATAGGGGACAAGAATGAAATTTTTGAACTCCTTGGAAGGAGTAGAACAAAGAAAGCCCAATATGTTTAAATACAAGCTTCATATAAAAGTGACAGGTGGTCAGAGCTGGTCCAAGCAGTTTTGCTGCCCTGACCACCTGCCTTTTTTATAAGTACATGTGTTTAAAATGTTGGGCAGAATGACCAATAGAGCTCCCCAAAATCAGTCCAATTATTTCAGGCTCTTAGGCAGGAAATCCCCTATTTGTCTCTCCCCCCCCCCCCCGATTCTCAGTTGTAAAATAACAAGAAATAATGAATTTAAGAACTTTGTGGCTTTTCATAACCCTCAGAATTGGCTGTTTGAGACGGCTGCCTCACTGTGCCTTATGTGGGGATTGGCCCAACAGCCGGCAGGACAATGTTAGGCATTCCCTCCAGCAGAAAAGGGGAAAATGCTACCTCCAAGACACTGCACACACAGGTGTCATCGATAAGCAGTTTTTCCTCCAGTGCAGCTTTATGTAATTAATTAATATGCCAAAACACCTGTGGTGGATTAACTAAGTGTGTAGCAGCTTTACCTAAAAGCACAGTAAGATAAAGGCTGGAGGGTAACACGGGCTCCACTCCCCCAAAAATGTAGAGGAACCGGGGCACGAAGGTGTGCAGTGTTGGCACTTTTTTATTATTAGCAGAGATGCAGATCTTCTTCCCTGTTCCCTTTGAGCTGCCATCTGCAGAGGGATGAATCTCGCTGCAAGTCCTTGTTGAAAATGTTTAATTCTCCATTGTGATGCTCTGTATTCGGGGCTGTTTGGTCTTGAAAAGGCAACCGAGACCCATCTGCTTTACACAAGACCTGCTTCTGGCAGATAACTGCATTTTTTTAATGGATCGGAACAGCTGCCTGAAACTGGGGCTCTCCTTGGGCTGTGAGCTGCCCTGGGTCCCTTGCAAGAGGAAAAAAATGGATTACAAATGCAATGTGCTAATAAGGCAGCTATGAGGAGACCTACATTTTATAATGACCAGACCTTGGATGCCTACCACGTGCCCCCCTCTCCCCCGTTTAGGGTGCAATCCTGTGCATGTCACGCTGGGGGAAAGGGAATACTGGGCATTGCAGGGCTTTCCGCGGCCGCACCACGCAAGGACGCCCTCACTTAGCCTCCTTCCTCTTCCACTGGACAATCCACTAGGGGGCACTCCGTTCCCAGCTATAGGAGAGTTGCAGCTACTCCTCAACAGGTTGGAAACGGCGCGAGCACATTTCAACAAATCTTTTCAGTGGGTTATGTTTAGTTCCTCGGTGCGTATTTTAAACTTCGGTGCGGCACCGAAGGAATAACAAGACATTTTCGTCCTCTGTTGATCCTGCGGCTGCTCCAAGCTTTCTTTGGCTCTTTGATTTGTATCTACTAGTCAAAGGGGGTCACATTCCCCCAAGGAGGTGGATTCATGTAGGCTAGGAAAGCGGTGTTTGGGAGGTTTATTTTATCTCATTTTTGCGTGGATTTGCACCTTGAAAAAGCGGAGTGTGCCTAGAGAGCCATGGGTGTGTGTATCCCGTCCTCGCCCCAGGAAAGCCAAGATTTAAGATCTGGCTGAAGAGGCTCCACTCGCGTTTCTGCCCGCTCGTCTTTGACACAGAAGAGAGGGAAACTCGGCCTTTCCCCACGGACTCTCATCCCGGGAAGCAGGTAAGGAACAGGTTTCTGCAACAGCGTTGTTCCTCCCGCCAAACCGATCCTTCCCTCGCCCAAGGAGGACGCAATGGTTCTTGATAGGACTCTCGGGCTCCGTGCGTTCACACGCGTGGCTTTCGTACTAGTTTTTTTGTTTTTTTCTTAACGTGGTGTGTGATGCGATGGAAGGTCCACCAGAAGGAGATTCGATTCGATTCCCCTAGCAGGTTCCTCCGAGCATTCACACACGTGGACGAGAGAGGCTGGCTTGTTTTCTCAGTGTGTCTGGCATGGAAAAGCTTCACCTACTCGGAGTAAGTTCCACTGGACTCAGAACTTACTTCTGAGTAGACGCCCCTCGGATAGCGCTGACAGCCATTTGATGCAATGCGGTAGCCATGTGTTCATCCTACGGCGAGTGGAAGACCCACCGGAAAGGAGCGGCTTTAAGTCATTTACGCTCTACTCGCGTGGGACCCATGTGGAATAACACGCCATCACTTCCCCCGCTGCTGTGCTTCGACTTAGTGACATTGGCTGGGGGAACCGGCCAGTTCTGATACATTCCTAGTGCACTAACTGATCCAGTTAGCATTTATGTATTTAAACTTTATATGCCGTCCTTTATGCATGACATCTCAGGACGGCTTACAACCTTATATTGCACGTACGGCCTGCCTTTTCCCTCTTGGCAAGGAACTCGAGGCGGCTAGCGCTCCCTCCGCGTCGGTGTTGTCCCCACGACAACCCTGGGAGTCGGGTGGCTGAGCGTGGTTGGCCGAAGTCGCCAGCGCGGGACCAGAACCCGCACGGCCCGGGCCGTGGTTCCCCCACGCGAAGCGCCGTGCGGGCGAGCCAGCGGATCCCCCTGCGTGATCCCCGATGCTGAACATGTGAAGTGGCTCCCCGCGAGCTGCTGCGCCTGGAGAAACCGAAGCGCTGGCCGCGCTGTTCCAGCTGGGGCGGTTCATTCGCAAAAGTCAGTGTTGGGTTGCTGTCGGCGCCGGCCAGTCGGTATCCACGTCGGAGCAAAGCGGCCCCTGAAATCGGGCATGACGCGTGTTGCCCGGTGCACCCAGGCGTGCTCTGCGAATGCAGACGAGCGCGGGAGGGAGGCCCTTCGCGAGGGTGGCGGTTCTTGGCGTGCGCTTTGGGGAGGCCCCTGCGGAGCCTGCCTGTAGCCGAAGGCGGCCCGCTCCGAACCGGAGCGCAGAGGCGGTGGCCGTCGCAGGAGGGGAGGCGGGAAATGTGCGAACCCGGGCTTGCAGCTCGGCTCCTCTCGCCCTCCAGTCCCGCTGCATCCAAGGCGGCTTCCTCCCAGGCGAGGGAAACGGCCCCCCTCGCGCACTACCTGTTGCTCCTTACTGCCATGTCTCAGCTTTCCTCTGAGGAGCCCGCGGTAGCCTGCAGAGCCGCCTCCTGGTTCATCCTCACGACAGCCCCGCGAGGCAGGGCGGGAGCAGAGGCCCTGACTGGCCCGGGGCACCCAGTGGCCCCCATGCCTGGGTGGGGAGTAGACCCTCGCTCTCCCGAGGCTCAGTACAAGGCTGTAACTACTCCCCCACGCTGCCTCCTCTCGTGGAGCAATGGCCTCCCTTGAATAGAAGGGGGCTTGCATTCAAGTAGACACGTGCCGTCCAGTCGTCGCTTTGCAGTGCGTGTGGGAGAACGAAGGGCACTCTGCGCGCGTGCAGAGGCACACTCTCCTCTCTGCACGCACGCAGTCACACGTCCCTGCTGCTCGGTCCCGGAGGGCAGCCCGCGCTCGAGGCCGCACCTGCGCGGGGGGCGCGCACGTGCTGCGCCGCTCGCCGGGCCCCGCACAGGCGGCGCTGGCGCTCCTGCCGCCGCGGCGTCCTCCTCCGAGGGTCTCGGCTAAGTAGGGCTGGCGGGGCGGTGGGCTGGAGCGAGAGCCGGAGAGCCAGCCGGAGAGCCAGCCAGCCAGCGCGCTCAAGGGCGGGCGCTTGCTCGCCTGCCAGCTCCGCGTTGCAAGCATGCGGCGACGTCTCTGGTGCTTTGACAGCAGCGGCAGGAGGAGGAGGAGGAGGAGGAGGAGGAGGAGAGGCTCCGCTTCGCCGCCGCCGGCCCGGCCCACGCTCGCTGCCTCCGCGAGGAGCCGCCGCGCGGGGTGGCACGAAGCGGGCGAGCCGGAGAGAGCGGCGGCGCGGCGCGAGGTGGGTGAGGGCGCCGGGGGGAGGCTGGCGGCGCGCGCTCGCGTGGGCCGCGGGCCGGGTGTCCCGAGCGCAGCCGTGGGCGTCGCGGCTCCGGACCCGCCGCCGCCGACAGCCCCGTGGCAGCGCCACGCCCCCGCGCGGCCCGAGCGCCCCCCGCGCGGCAGACGCTTTCCGGCAGCTTTTGCCTCGCCGGGAGCCGGTCTGGGCGAAGCGGGGTCTGTGGCGCCCATGCCCTGACGGGCATCCTTGCACCTGCCCGGGAGGACAACGCGGAGCTTGGGTTCAGTGGGGCGACTGCTTTATGGAAGCCTGTGCTCTGGGTTAACTATGGGCTGTTACCACAAACTACCCAGGAGGAGAGCCCATGGTTCATGGATGGGTTGTGAACTCAGGCCTGTGCACTGGGTACCAATCCGTAGTTCAACTGTGGGTCAGGGTTTTCATGTACCCACAACCTACAGTGACCACCCATACTGTGGGTATCGGAGGGAACAAGGAAGGCCCAGTGGGTTGCAGGTGGAGTCAGCATTCCTGCCAGTCGAAAAGAATCGCCTGCCTGTGCCCCGGGCCTTGCCCCCTCACGCAGCGAGAGGCACTCATAACTCGTGGGCGCAGCATTCAACTCAAGGTCTGAGTAATCTGTTGGAGTGTTGAAGTAATGGTGTGTCTGCACATGTGCAGAGGGCAGTCAGCTTTGAACACCTTCCCACGGAGATGCAAAGAACTGGGTTTCTGGGAAGAGATGTGTCTGACGCAGGATCTGAGTGGAGGGCAGCTGCCCCTGCCTGGCTTTCATCCCAGACCAGGGCTAGAGACCACGTGAGCTGCAGCCCAGCAGCATCTGGAAAGCCATGGGGAGTCCATCCCTCCGCTGGCCAGCCCTGGGGATTTTTCTCGCCTGCCCTCCCCCAGCTCTTCAGCAGGTGAAGTGATGCATTTGTAGAAATGAATGGAGGGGAATCCCAGCCGGAGCAGTAGCTCTGCTGCGTCTGGATGGGGAGTCCTCGGTCTCTGGCTACCAGCTGTTGCTGCTGAGGACACCAGGTGGGGGAAAGGCAGCAGCCCTTGCGCATGATCTGCTGAAGGCTGACTCAGTCTAGTGCCTGAATTTCCCTTCCCTTCCCTTCCCTTCCCTTCCCTTCCCTTCCCTTCCCTTCCCTTCCCTTCCGTGCTGTGCCTTTTGAAGTATAAGCCTAGGGGCAGGGGCTGTGGTGCTTCTTACTGTCTCCAGAGCCTTTTTGGCTGAAAGGCAAGATCAATATACAGTAATAAATGAATAAAAACCTGTGTAAATGATCTCAGCCTACATGGAAGCTGTGCTTGAGGTATTAACCATCATGGTGATTGCAGTGCACTTAGCATCTAAACATTACGTGAACATGAGAGCCAGCGCAGTGCAGTGATTAAGAGCGTTGGACTGGGACTCGGTCCCCACTCAGCCATGGAGCCACCTGGCTGACCTTGGACTGGTCACAGATCTCAGCCCATCCTCCCTCCCAGGGCTGTTGTTGAGGGGATATGATTGAGAGCAGCAGCAGGAGGATGCAAGCCACTCTCAGGTCATAGGAAGAAAGTGAGGTATAAATCTAATAACATATTTGGAAACATATGTTTGTTTATTTGGAAAAATAACATAGCGCTGGTATTGATGTGCAGTTATGTGTGCAGAACAACATCAGCACAGAGTGCCTTTTCCAGGGCTCGGAGGCACACAAGAACAGGTCTGTGGCTGGCGTGTGTGTGCCAGAGGGGCCCTGTCTGAGGAACAGGTGTTGCCTCTACTTTGCGGGAAAGGGAGTCTTCGGAGGGATAATCTAGCAGTCTTGTTTTACTGTACTCAAGCTTCTATCTAATCCAACACTGACTAGTTTTAATCTGGGTGCTTTTCTTATTTATTTTTTTATGTTTGTTGTTTTTTACTTTTGTATCTGCTTTCCAAGAATGAGCTCAGCATGTCGTGCTTGGTCCTTGTGAAGCAAGTGGGGCTGAGAGAGAGAGTGTGGGAGGGAGTCAGTGCAAGGATTAGAACTGGGGTGACCCATTCTCAGCCCGGCTCTCTCAGTCGTTGCAGGAGCTGGCAGGAGTGATGCCTGTTGCAGTTCCAGCACAGCTGGAGAACTGGGGCAGGTCGCGTTCCATCATGCCGGCTTTTGCCTGTTACAGGCATGTTGAACCTCTTTCACTCCAAGCTCTGCCCCCGGGAAGCTCTCTGGGGCTGCCCTCCAGCAGTGGGCCGGTCCAAAGGCAAAGGAGGCGGGGTCAAAATGCTGGCCTCTGTTAGTTGCAAGTTCATACTGCCAGTAACTGAGGCTTAGGAGAGGCATTTCAACCTTTCCGAAAGGGGAAAACTGTACAAGCTGAGAAAAAACTGTAGTTGGCGGTTGCGGGCCGGGGGGGCGGGGTAGAGCTGTGGCCATCTGAGGAACTTGGGGCGGGGGTTGTCAGGTTCAACCCCCTCAATATTTTCAGATGTTGTGCTCTGTTGACATGTTGGAAGAAATCTGACCTGCGTTATCATGAAACTTGTAAATACAGGAAGCTAAGGTAGAAATGGGGGAAGGTTACTCCTTGGCAGGTGCTTGGTCAGCTCCTGCTGCCCTTCAGGGCCTGTTGGAGGGGACCTTCAAAAGGACGCTTTCCCAGGGCGCTCACAAACCTGTTTTTCCTACCTTGGGAAATACTAGAAGGTCTACGGTCTTATGAAGATCAGTGGTTGGTATCATCTAAAACTTGTCTTTGATTACAATAATATTTTGGGTGGGTGGGTGGGGGAAACACCTAAGAGATATTTCACAGAAAGGAACAATCAAACTTTCAATTTTTTTGAAATTAAAGAGTTTATTCCCCCCACCAGTAATTTCTGCCCTCTACACAGAAACTATTACTTGTGCTCCACTTCTACTATCTGAGCCAGCATACCACACCTCCCTTGAGCAAAGCTCACAAGCGTTGCTGCTTTTCTGCCATAGGACTGCATATCCAACATAGTTTGGAAGTGGATTCTGAAACCCAGGAGTTATGTTCTTTTGCTGGGAAGCTGGGCAAAATGTGTTGAAATAGCTCAGCAGATTTGATTTCTCCTTGGCTCCTGGATGCATATGGTAATGGCAGAAGGGAAATGGTGGGGAAGGTTGCCGACTTGATAAACGGACTCGTCAGCAAGAGAAAAACGGCGTTCTGACTCCCCCGGCCAGCTCCCCCACCCTCCTGCCCTAATTGGAAGCACCTCTCCCTTCATGCTGTGCTCATGTTGTTCTCTGCAAGGCAGCTTTCCTGGCCAGCACAAACCTTGGCTGTTTAGGTTGTGCTGTTTCCAAAGCCTAGCTTGGACTTGCTGCCCAGTTTGTTTTAGTCATTCTGGTTCTGGCGGGGTGCACTTGACTTTTATATGCATGCATGCATGCGCATTATATATATATAGATATATCTGTGAAACCTTCTCACTATTTTTTCTTAAAGGTGCAAGAGGATGGCCAGTGCAAAACTCACAGGGCCCTTGTGGGAAGTCACCTGGTTCACTGTCATCTGTGCCCATCTTCAGGTAGGCAAGGGTGTTGCAGAGCCGCTGATGCCAGCAGGCCAGATGCTTGATTGATCGTATGAAAAACCAGGCAGTTGTGAGGAGGGTGAGCATTTGCCTGTTGAAGGTGCGAGAGTGAGTGCCAGCTGTGTAGCATAGAGGTATTTGTGTTCCCCTTTTTAAAGTCGTTGCCACGCCCCGTGCCAAGAGGTGGCCAGGAGAGAAGTGGGCCCTTGATTGATTGCTGGACCTGGGCTAGCTTTCTCCATTAGGGACGTAAATGGAGATTGTGTTTAGGCAGGAGTGTCTACAGTGGTACCTTGGCTCGCAAACTTAATCCATTCCACAACTCTGCTCGTGATCCAAATTGGTTGTGACCCAAGTCAAATTTCCCCATAAGGTTCAGTATAAATAAGGATAATCAGTTCTGTAACTATTTTTTTTTTAATCAGAAAAGTTTGAAACAAAGTGACAAAGAACAACAAAGTGACAAAGTTCTGTACTGTACAGTGGAGAACACTAACCTAGGTGTGGGGGAGGTTATTGTTTGGAGGGAGAGTCCCCCTCCAGAAGGACACTGGGGAGATCTCTTTCAGGGGTTTCCTCTCTTCTTTGTCTCTTAGCTGCAGGGTCAATTTTGGTGAAAAATCTGTCTATAGTCACTTGTTTCTTCCTGCTCGGCATGACCCTCCGGAAATGAGAGACCACGTTATCGTTCGTCAGATTCAACACTCTGCTCGTTACAGTTATGTTGGGGTGGTGCTTCTCAAAGAAATCCTGGCACGGGTGCGCTCCTGCAGGAAAGACGGGCGCAATCTCGGCCATCCCCCCCGGCCCGCAAGCAGCACAATCACGGCCATTCCTCCTGCAATCACGCACATCTTCCCTGCACAAACGCAACTGTGATCGTGGCCATCTCCCCACTTGGGGGGTGGAGATGGCCGCGATCTTGGTTGCCGCCCAATGCGGAGTTCGCGACCCGAGTCAAAATTTTCATGAAATTTTTGTTCATGACCCGATTTGGTTGTGAACCAAGGTGTTTGTGAGCCGAGGCACCGCTGTACTTTGTATGCGGAAAGTACTAACCACAAATTTCTCTTTGGCTTTAAAAAAGGGGGGAAATTCAGGGAGCAGATCCTGTGAAAGAGCTTTGGTTAATAACCTACAGAGCTGCTGCGAGTCACTAAATGTATTTGATTTATGTAATAAATAATCATACCTCACCATTCCTCAAAGATACCAGGGCTGCTAAAAACCTATATTAAATATAATCAATCACTTTAAATCATGACTCTAAAACCACAAAACTGAAGCACAATAAGATCATTGGGAAAATCAATAACAACCACAACCATAACAATAAAAGAGCACTTTCCTATAGCCACAAATTCTACGTAATTAAACAGGTCTTTAACTGGTGCTTGAATAACAACATCATGGGAAACAGAGCAGTGCCTTCCAAAAGGGCATCCCAAAGGCGTGCTACCACCAACAAGGCCATGTGTCAGGAGACCATAAGCAAAGCCTCCTCAGCCTAAATCCTGTGTATGGCAAAGGTGTGTTCTCCTGAGCCACTTGGGGCTCAGTACCTGCTAGTAGAGACATCTTAGTTCCTTGCACTGTGGGGAATTAGAGCAGCAGCTAGACCCAGCCCCCCGGCACCACACTTGAAAGGCCTCCACTGGTGCCCAGCACCACCAGGTAAACTCACTTTGACCTGCTGACAAATAAGGGGGCCCAACAAGCGCTGTTTGTCCAGGGCTCCTTCAGATGAACACACAGATGTTAATAATTTGTTGCACATGAATGGTGTAAACAGTCGAAGTTTAGAAGGAGGTTTTTCTAATGCCAAATTGGATCACATTCGTTTAAATCCTAGACTGGATTGCAAGAACCATGAGCCAGAGGAGAAGAGCTGTGAATAGGCGACTGACCTCCTTGTTTGTTCAAGAGCTTGCAGAAAGACACCTTTGTGTTTAGTTCGACTTTTCTACTGTGACACTTGAATGGGAAGTGTAAAACGGCATCCAGTGAGCGTAGCATGTCCTTTGCTTCCGACACAATATGGAGTTAAATCTCTGGCCATGTGTTGCCCTTTGGGGCATCTAAATATCCCACCCAACACTGAGGCACTATCAAGAGAGGGCTGTCAAGAGAGGGCTGTCCCTAGTCAACCTTCTTCCCTGTTCATTCTCTTGCTTGTGCTCCAGGTACCTTTCAACCTCAGGGCCAAATTCCACTGTGGAGCAGTTCTTTGGGGCCACATTCCAGTAGTGAGCAAAGCTGCAGGCAGAATGAGTGGGACCGGATCCAAAACAGGTGGGGGCAGAAGCGTCAGCGTAATTTGGCTTAAAGCTCTCAGTGACTGGGCTCAGCCAGCTTAATCCACACGCAGTGGCTCTGTATGGGTTGAGTGTGTGGGTTGTTGCTGGACTGAAGTTGGAATGTGGTTTCTGAAGTACTGGTTTTCCTGTTGTCTGAAACCAGCTAACTCACAAGCAGGAAATCCATGAAAAGCTCCAAGATCGGTTGTTGGGGTGTGAACTGTGGCCTGTTCACTATGGTTTGCTTATCAAGCCGGGGTTCAGTGAACATGTCAGTCCACACTTCAGCAACTATTCATAATCCAGCAACAGCCCAAGCACAACCCATACTCAACCCCTGAGCGTCGCCAGTAACTTCCGTGCTTTGCAGAAGTCTTCACTCATCCCTTTCGACTTTTCCATGTTCTGTTGCGTGACAACTCGGAATTGAGATGGATGGCTTAGCACTGTTCCCAATTGATGTACACAAGATACTCAGTAATGCGAAGGTGCAAAATATTTTCATTGCAGCACAGCAGTTACGCAAGCAAAAGCAAATGGGGACCCTGAAGTCCCAGTCAGTACTTGGCAGACGTCTTCTTGGGTGGGGCTCTGTCAGCTCCACACATCTGGACTCTGCCAACCTTCCTGGCAGAACTGCTGCGGCTCTGTGCCTCTGTCACATTGAATGGGGACCACTGGTGAACAGCGACTTCCGCGTCTTTCCACAGAGCCTCAATCAGATTGAGGCCTGGGCTTTGACTGGGCTATTCCAGGCGCCTTTTCGAAGCCGCTCCAGTGTTGCTTTGGCTGTGTGTTTCGGTCCTCATCCTGCTGGAGGGTGGATGGCTGCGCCCTTTCCAGGTCCCTCGCAGGCTGAGGCAGAGTTTCCTGTAGAATTGCCCTGTATCAGGGCTACATTCATCTTGCCTGCAGCCCTAACCCAGGCCTTGCCAAGAGAAAGCTTTCCCACAACATGATGCAGTCCCTACTTGCTTCACCGTGGGGATAGTGTTGTCAAGGCACAGATCACACTGGCACTGTGCATTATACATAACATTTTGCAACCAGGCCAAAAAGGTCAATTTTGGTCCCATCGAACCAGGGATCCCTTTTGTTGCATGTCTTCCTGCAAGGTTCAGCTGGGCTTTGATTTGGGTGTGCTTGAGCGCAGCTTTCTTTTCACCTCTTTTTCATAAGGCACAGCTTTGTGGAGTGTCCAGGTGACAGCTGTCCCACGGACAGCGCTGAGCCTCTTGTGTTGCATCCAGTGGCAAAGGTGTCAATTACATCCATTTCACTTCCAAGCTGTAACACAAGCAAAGGTGGAAAAGCCAAGCGGGGAGGTAGAGACACCTGCAAGGCAGCGCAGAGCTTGGGAGGGGGCATTCCAGCCTCTTAGAAGCGGGGGGGGGGGCAACGCCCCAAAAGCTGTGAATCCACCAAACAACCGGTGGCTGGGGGCAAGAGCGGGATCAGGGGAAGGGAGCGTAGCCCTCTGAGGAACCATTGGTGCCTGGATTAGTAGCCCCAAAGGACTGTGTTCAGCCCACAGGCCTGCGGTGACCTTCCATGTTCTACCGTAAGGGCTAGAAAATGCATCCGAAGGGTAAGCCGCCACCACTAAAAAGAAAAACAAAACTTTGGACATGCCATTTTTTATAAATTCTGAGGTGGAATGGTAGTTTTGGATTAAAGCTGCAGAGAAGTGTAGATTTCGAAGGCTAGATTAGAAACCTCCCCAAAAGGATTTGCCAAGCACACACTCCAATGAAAAATCTGGTGTTGTCTTTGACAGCATTACCGCAAAGCTTATGCAAGTTCCTGCAGTTACTTCATGACTAATGGCAGCTTTTTAATTACTGTTTTCAGGATCCAAACAGCTGTTGTCCCCAGTTTTGCTGGGTGGGTGTTTGTGGGGGGGGGGAGCGTGGGTTGGAAAGAACAAAGGCCAGCCGAAAGCCAAATGCTGCTTTTAAAATTCATTTCATGTTTATGTAATATTTTCTAGTTGCTGTGTTTTTTTAATAAATCCACCAAAAATCATGACTGTGGGAATAGGTCACCGCAATGAAAATAATGCTTCAAAGTTGTATTATTTAAGATACTTATGGGTCAGTGTTCCAATGTTCAATGCAATAAATAATACATAACATTTACTACATAGTATTAAAAGTAAAGATTGCTGGCTTTGGCCGTAAGGGGAAAAAACCAAGTTTGTCTTAAGTTAAGATGCAATCCAGTGGAGATAGGACTGCGTGAGCTGTTGAAGGCTTGGTCTTATCTTAAAGATCTTTGCCTCCTCACCTCTCCTGCTCCGCTCTTATTTTTGGTAGACTTCATTTCAGAGGGACATTTGCTGGCTGCCTTGCCCCCCATCTTCCCCACCAAAGTCACTTCCTCAAACTCGGAACAGCCAGTACATTTTTTTCTGTGCAAGCTGGTCGGGGAGTGAAGAAAGAGGACTGGAGCCCTGATTCCCAGCTCTGAGACTGAAATGTCTCTGACCTCAGATCTGGGAATCTGAGCTATCTGCTGGGACCCCTCAGGCAGCATCTGTGAGCGATGGTATTATTCCCTCCACACTTTCATTAGGAGCACTAAAATATATGGGAGAGAGTTCAGCACATCTCATGTGCATTGAGATCCTCTGCATGATTGGAGTAGATCTGGATTTAATTGTTTGGATATGCCACTGATTTGGATATGCTTTCACTT